CTGTCAAAAAAAAGAATTTAAAAAAAAAAAAAAGAGCGGGAGAGCGGTGTGATGGTAGAGACAGCCATTACTGTCACAGGAGGCGGGGCTCTCCTCCCACACCGCCCAGCCTCCTGTGACCGCCAATCCAAGATGGAGAGCAGCGTTGTAGGCGGAGACAGCTTTCATTTCCCTACACAGGAGGCTGAGCTCTCCTCCAGCACCGCCCCACTCAGCCTCTTGTGACAGCTGTCAGGAAGGAGAGCGGTGCAAACACTCAGTGATCAGTGATCGCTGAATGTTTGTAGATAATTGAGGACATGGTATGTTGACTATATCCTCAATTATGAATAAATGGGAAGTCATCTACATCACCTCCTGTTCATTCATGTCTGTGGTTATCGTAAACATACTATATCCACAAGTTATGAATGAAAACGAACACTCAGTATAGAGGATTCCTGTTCATTCATAACAGGGGCTGCAGAAAAAGAGACTGAGAACTTTGTGTCCTCAATCGCTTTTTCTATTTTTAAAAGGGAAATATCAGGGGTCTGTTTAGACCCCTAATATTTCCCCGAAGCCCCTAAAAGTAAAAAAATTAAAATATTTAATAAAAATAAATAAATAAATAAATAAAATATAAAGTTTATAAAAAATAAATAAAAATAAAATATTTTTAAAAATTTGAAAAAGTTAGAATAAAAAACACTTTCGGTTTCGGCCTGACCTTTTTTTTTTATTTCAGTTTCGTTTCGGTTTTTAAATTTTCATTTCGGTGCACCTCTAATTATTATGTTTTCTGTATCATTGGGGTAACTAATAAAAAGGTATTTAAAATTTACAGTCAGGGACAGATTTATATCAGTGCAGCTGTAGAAAGGCTACATTTGGCACTCTGGAAAACATTTCTTGTTTAATTGGTTCTACCTTGGCTTAGAATATTGTAGCAACATGAAAAAAAAGGTTATGTGGGATAACTATTTATATTGTAAAATGGGAAAAATTTGTGGTTAATATCTATACAGAGAATAGCTGACCTTTTGCCTCTGGCACCTATAGGCATATTGCCACTCTGCCTAATGGTAACTTTTGCCCTGATTTTAGTAATTGCATACAGTTATGACTCAAATGTGAACCATAACTCAAACTTTTTATTTCACATAGAATAGAGCAGGAAAGGGTTCATCTGTCTCTTATCTTAGGTAGCATCCTCATATGAATAGAAATCTTAACCAAGACCTGTTACCAGCCCCAGTATTCCGGCCTGTTAGCAGATGCAGCAGGGGGGACCTCTGTGTTAAATAAGTCTGTAGGTTTCCAGTGGGTTTGATGTACCGAGTAAGTGATTCGAAAACAAGAGGAACTTTTCTTCCCTTTATACGACAGCATTGCCTTTTTCATATGAATGACCTCATTAGATACTGGTAGACTTTTCTACTATTGTACTTTAATGTCTTCCCTTTATACTGCAGCATTGCCTTTTTCATCAGAGAAGTTCATATGAATGGTCTCATTAAAAAACTGGCAGAATTTTCCACTATTGTACTCAAATTTCCATTGGCATACATTTCTTCTCTGTAATCTTCTATTTGTATCTGTGCAGCGGTTTCAAAGCAATTTGTATTTATATTTCAGATCACGTTCTATATGGTTATTAGCACTCCAGGAATCACAATAGAAACTACAGAACTGGAGGTGAAACTTGAACTGGCCACGTAAGAGTTTAGATGTCATTTTGTGTACTTAAATGTGTGACACCAATTCAATGGCTGTAACTTGACATTTAGGGCCCTTTACACTTTCACACTAAAAACTGCTTTCAAAGTGCAGTTTCAGTGCGCCATGCACATGTGAATGGTCCATTACTGGCGTGTTATTTAAGACACATGCAGACATTGACAAATGTTCATCTTATTATTTATTGATGCTCTTTAAATGCACTATCACATACATTGTAGCTGTCAATCGGATTTCAGTGTATCATAGCTGGATAAGTAAAAGTTGAGTTCTAATTAGTTTATATTGAATATCGCATATAATCACTGCTGTGTTAAAGAAGAACTCCAGGCAGAAATGTTATTAACTCTTGCAATGGGGTTAATGCACTGCAAGGGTTACCTGCTCGTTTTTGCTTAGGTTGAAAAAAAAAGTTATACTCACCTTTTATTCGGAGCCAGCTGGCTCTTAGACTTGTCCCTAGAGCACCTTCCCCTGCAGCAGTCTAAGGTTCTGTTAGTCATCACGTCCAATACAGTGTATAGGATGTAAGGATGCCAAGGGATTTTTTTTTTACCATAGGCAAAAACAAGCAGTTAATCTTAGTAACCTCACTGCAAGGGTTGATAACATTTCTGGCCAGAGTTCTTTTTTAATGATTCTTATTATTAGGTGCCGATACTGAGTATTTGGGCAAGTACTCGTACTCGCCCAAATGCTCCTGATGCCTATCCCGATACTGGAACTTCAGGTCTCAGGAAGGTCTGAGTCATTACACTCTGCCCGGCTTCCTGATTGGCCAGGAATTCGGCTCCAGCATGGGGCTGGCTTCCCGGCCAATCAGGCAGCCGGGGGGCGGGTTATAACTCGCCACCCCGTATTCCTGATTGGCCGGGAGGCCGGCTCCGTGCTCCTTCTTTACTTGGTGACGAGGGAGCATGGAGCTGGCTTTCCGCCAATCAGGATGCTGAGCAGCGTGTAATGACTCACTGCCCAGCTTCCTGATTGGTTGGGAAGCTGGCCAATCAGGAAGCCAGGTGGCGAGTCTTTACCCACCCCTTGGCTCCCTGATTGGCCAGAAAGCTGGCTCCATGCTTCCTCATCACCTGGTAACAAAATAGCATGGGAAGCTGGCCAATCAGGAAGCTAGGCGTCGAGTCATTACCCGTCCCCCAGCTTCCTGATTGGACAGAAAGCCGGCTCCATGGTTCCTCGTCACCTGGTGTTAAGGGAGCATGGAGACGGCTTCCCGGCTAATCAGCAAGCGGGCGGTGAATCATTAGACACCGCCTGTCTTCCTTAATGGGACTTCCAGTATCAGTATTCAGTATCGGCAAGTACCGAAAAAATATATCAGTACTCGATACCGAAAAATTCTGTATCGGTGCATCCCTACTTCTTATTAAAACGAAATATTCAGTATTTGAAAACAGTAAAACACTGTATAGGGCTACTACGGTGCCTGACTCACAATTCATTTTTTATTCACTGAATGCATTATATCACTGAGGATTGCTGGCCACAAAGTATATAAGGCAATTCACTTGTTTAATATACACAAATGGATCTACTGGCAACTAAATGATTTGCAGAGTGCAATGACCCATTGAACGTTTTTCACACTGTAGATCCCAGGTGGGTATAGTACAGATAGCACACAACAGATCACGTTATGTGTATGTGAATATCCATGTCTTCTATAGCATATGTGGGTGAAATAAAGTATGATTGATACTTTGTAAAACAGAAAACAGCTACATGAGATGAATACTTTGTCATATAACAACAAGGATTAGGCATTTTTACTTTGCTACATTTCTAGCTCACAGGAATTGCATATGGACAACTGAAAGCAAGTCTATCCAATTACATCCAATAAATCTGGCAGCTAGTCTCTTTATATATTTAGTTTTGCCAGTCAGACTTCATAGTTACTTTAAATATAGTCCTTTTTTATTCAAATATTGAAGAAAGTGTTACCTATGGGCTCCAGGTGTCTTATAGCGTTCTAGTAGCCAGTATGCTTTTTTTTCCAATATTTTAATTAAAGCTAGTAGGGTCATCCAGTTTCATCATCTATTTGCTACAACACTAGATCAAGTGAAGCTGGATTACACTGTTGCATGTGTATATCAACTCTGAGTACATGAAATTGGGCATATAATCAAAGTAAGATTCATGCGGCTCTGCTCACCTCACTCCCTTAAAGCCATGAAAGGTAGCAAAAGACATGTACTGTTAAGTGAAAAAGTAAGTGCATCCCATGGAAAGTGTTGGCTTTTAAAAGATATGTGGACAGGCAAATTGTGGATCTTGATTCAAACAGTGCCTACAAATAAGGGTGATACACTTGAATCTGTGACACGTAAAATTGACATGGTGTATTTATTCCCTTGATCTAAAGTAACAAAAATGCAGATTTGTCATGTGGGAAAAGTAGGTACACCTCTACATTTACCCCCACTTTATATCTATTGAATTAGATGAGGTGTCCCAGATTAGATGTCAATGATTATAACCTCCTTGGGGAGTATGCAGATGGAACCTATCCTTTTTAAACCACAGATATCTTGGATCTAATGTTTTCTTTGCTATTGGCAAAAGAGCTCTCTAAGGTCCTCAGAAAGGAGGTTGTGGATGCTTATAAGTCTGGCAGAGATTTAATAAGATTGCCAAATTATGTGAAATCAATCATTTAATTGTATGAAAAATAATCTACAATTGGCGTAGATTTCAAACATCTACTAATCTGTCCAGGACTTGCCAGTCCAGCAAATTCAGCCCAAGAGCTGGCCGTTTGATATTAAAAGAAGGTTTCCAAGAGTCCCAAAATGTAATTGCGTGATCTTCAGATAACTCTTGCAACAATTAGTGTTGATGCATCTGAATGTATGCATCAACAATCAGAAAGAAATGGCACCAATTTAACCTGCACGGGAGAAAAAATTAGAGCAAGGCTAAACTTTGAATTATTTGGCCAGAGTAACATTGCACATGTTTGACACAAACCAAAAACAGCATTTCTGGAGAAGAAAATAATGGAAATATTATGGTTGGGTACCTTGCTGTTTCAAAGCATGGGCGGCTTGCAGGTTTTGTTTCAACTATGAATTTGGCATATCATAGTACTTTATGAACATGTGAGGCCATCTATCCAAAAGTTGAAGTTGAACTGGAAATGTTTCTTTCAACACTATAATGATCCAAAGCACACTAGTAAATCCACCAAGGAATGGCTCAAAAATAAGAAATATAGGTTTATGGACTGGCCCAGTAAATTTCTATTTGAATTCCACAGAAATGTTGGGAGGGAGTAATTTAAAATTGTCAGTTCGTACCGGGAAACCCACAAAAGTCTTGCAGCTAAAGGAATTTTACATGTAGGAGTCATCAAAAATTTCAGAGAGCTGATGTTATAGACTGGTGGGTAGTTATGCAAAACACATACAAGAAATAATTTCTGTTAAAGGGGCAATACCGGCTTCTAAAGACAAGGGTGTATTTGCCCTTTTTCATAGTACACAATGACATCTATTAATATTTTTGTTACATAAATAATTGAAACGCCACATTTTGCTTGCGGTTTTATTCAAGTATATCACCGTTATCTGCTGGCACTGTTTAAATGAATATCTGATGTTTGCATGCTCATGTTGGAAAAGTCAACAATTTCCATGGGATGTACATGACTGTAGTTATTACCTTGGCTGCAGACACCACTTCTCCAGGATTCCATAGTGGCTAGTTGCAAGATTAAATGCTATTGCATTAGTCATGTTGTATGCTAAAGGGCAGTATCAGAGTTCCGGAAGAGCCTCTTTTTGGTAATGTGACCAGCTACCATGGCTTCCCTCAACAGCAATATTTTGCAGCCCGGTAAGGATTTCATGCATTCTGCTACGGTCAATTACTGTTAGTATAGAAATAAGGAAAATATTTGTTTTTGAAGGTGCTAGCTCCTGGACTGTCATTTCTATGATCTTTTTATCCCTGATTCTGAACAAGTTTGTGCAGGCAGGACCTTTTTAAGGGGGTAAGTTGGGCAGAGTAGGGAATTTGCCTTAATTTGACTAGAGATCTTTTTTTAAAGTGACCATGTTGCTAGAATAGAAGTCTCAAAAAAGTGCCCCCTGCAAAGAAGACAATTCATACTTCCCTCCCACCCTCTGCACCACCGAACTACTGTGGCCGAAGAACCTTCAGCATCCAACACAATCCTAGATGGGGAAAGTATGAACTTGCTTCTTCACATGGAGCACTTGGTTTTCCATTTCTTTTCAGAGGCAGGGTGACTTTAAAGTGCAAGTGCAGAAATAAAGCTAAATGCTCAGTTGAAATATGTATATGTTACCTGTTTTATTTTGTAAAATGTTTCATTTTGTAAAGCCAGTTTTCAAATCCATACACCTTTGCCAAGCAATATAGTCAGGTACTGACCATTCACCTTTCTTCACTGCAGTCAAAGCAGGTCTGTGATGAGATAATCAATGAGCAGGGGCTCAATTAGGAGTTCCTCTGTGCTCTCTCTTACAATAAGAAAGTTACATTGGTTCATCATAGCACTATGCAATGCAGTTAAGTCAGATCCCTTCCTCTGGGATGTGCTAGGAAGTACTGGAGGTAGTAAAGAGACAAATCAAGGTACTATATGTAAATACATTAAAAGTATTTTTAACACGTGATTATAGTATTAATTGGGTTTCTATACTTATACTTGAAAGAACCAGTAAAGCAAAAAAACAAATATACATGTACTAGTACTTATACCTGCTGAGACCATTAGATATTTTGCATAGTATGTACATTTGCTATGTAGCGTTTTTTATTGTTTTAGCTACCATTTTAGTCCACTGGATTTAATCACATTTTCGGTGGATTACCATACAGGAAGTCAGCTGTGTTGGAAAATAAAACACACCTCTATATCATCTTCCCAGCACACATTTTTTTTTTTATTGAAGTCTCTGTTATGTAAATCCTTTTAAGCCCCTAATTACTAAACTCATGACATAATTGATTGCATTGTGTGTTTGTAGGATAAGTGAGCAAGTGAATTTGCCTACAGTACTTGCAAAAGTCAACGTGATCATCGAACTGCCGCTGTCTGTCTCTGGGTAAGTGAATATATAATAGGCTTCACTCTGTTGGGCCTGTCTTTTTTATATCCAGAGAAACACCATGTCTATTGTCTATTACTATTTATGACTCAGGAAACACCCTATTATAGAAAAATACCAAGCATATTTCTAAGGATTCGCAGTCACATTTGCTTGGCAACATTTGCCCCATGTATAAAGCACATTTGCTGACACATTTATTGGTTGCAGAAAAAATGCAGAAAATCCTTTCTTCATTGGGAAAAGGTGGTTAGTGTAACATTATTAGCATTGGTGCTGTTGGAACAGTACACCTCTCAAAGCACCATCTGATACCAAATGGCATACAGGCTGGTTATCACATATGCTGCCCCCTTTGCCATGGAAATACCAGGTTGCCTGCCTCCCTGGTGTTCCAGACAGATATTCGTTAAAGATGAACTCCGGGAAAATCAAAAACTAACCCTTTCAGTGGGGTTACATTTAAGAGCTCTTTTTATCTAGGGGGCTCAAATGAGGCAGATTTACTTACATAATTATTGGTCGTGCTGGGCTGCTAAACCGTTCCCCACAGCCTTTTCTTCCCCGGGCACCGGCAGTCTAAAGCCGCTGACATCATCACATCTTATGCAGGTTCATTGACCTACTTTAGACATGAGAAAGGTGAGTGCTTACCATTGTGGGACAGAGGATCAGGTGAGTAATACAGCTTTATTTCAGCCCCCTGGACAAAATGAGCACCTAACCCTTGCAGTAGACATGTGCGATTCGTTTCGTTCCGAATCGAAATTCGGACGAGTTTTTGGAAATTCGGACATTCGGATGTATCCGAATTCCGAATTACAGACATAACGAATGCAAACGAATCCGAATTTCCATTTCCGAAATTCGGTAGCGTTAGTACGAACGTTCTTATTCGTTTTCTGTTCTTATTCGTTTCTTATTCGTTTCTTATTCGTTTCGTTCGTTGGAGCAAAGTGACATTAGAGAAGGAGAAAAATATTTTTTCCCCCTCAAATGTCACTTTTGCTGCAAACGAACAAACGAAACGAATAAGAACAGAAAACGAAACGAACGTTCGTACTAACGCTACCGAATTTCGTCCGAATCCGAATTCCGAATCCGAATTGACTTTCTCACCCGAATCCTGAAAAACGAAATAACACAAATCCAAATTTAAAACGAAACGAAACTAAACAAATTTTTTGGCAGTGCACATGTCTACCTTGCAGTGCAGGGATAGCCTCACTACAAGGGTAAGTTTTTGATTTTCACAGAGTTCTTTAAAACAAAAGTTTAAAAAAAAACCTTTGAAAATGACCTTTTTCCTGAAACAGTAAATTCACAATTTTCACCACCATGGGATGCTCTGTCGGGATGAATTTACGTCACATTCACCAGGTGCACATTCACTGTTTTATAAATACAGTGAATATGACCATCAAATGTCAGCAAATATGCTGTAAAACATTTACTATAAATGTTTTAAAAATATGCTCTGTTTCAATTGTTTTTTTTTCATCTGTATTAATAGAAACATTAAAAAAAATGCAGTATAAAGTCAAACATCAAATACTTGACCTGTGTTGAGCCACCATTAATTCACAGATCATGGCACACTCGAACATTATGTAGTTACATACAATCAGGAAGATCAACTTCACCTTTAGTACAATATCATTAAAAAACGGATGTTTAATTTGTTTAGACTTGTTTTTTTTCCTAAGGTCTGCCGTTCATATAGAATGATTCAAGCATATGGTCTTGCTATATGTGTGTGTCGGGTTTCCTTTGTTTCTCTCTATTTATGCAGTGTTACTTTCAGGATTGTCTAAACAGTAGGGTGGTGCAGTGATATAATACTGAGAGGGGTGTTACATGGTTCTTTTTCAGAGAGGCTGCACCAAACAGACTGTTCTATAGTGGACAGGTAAAGGGGGAGTCTGCCATGAAGAATGAAGATGATGTGGGCAGCCCTGTGGATGTGGAAGTCACCGTATGTCATTTACTGTTTTATAGTTGTACATAATAATGCTGCCTGCTCACATACAAATAAGGCAACACTCCATATATTTTAAAATTAGTATCCACATGTACTGCCAAATCACTGTTGCATCTATTAATATAGTTTACATAATTAATATTGTCATTATATTAAAGTATATGTAAAGCCAAAACTTTATTTCATTTTGAATAGAGTATGTGAGTCAAAACCACTCTCATTTTTCTGCCATCTATGTCTCATTTTGGAGACTACCCTTGACTTCCTGCACTATAGACTGACTGCACATGATGTAAAGGATATCTTTCCAATGAAAGGGAAAATCCCTCCTAGATAGCTGTAACAGAAACAAGTGTCTCCATTGGCAGGTTTCCCTTCTATTCCTGTTTTGGTGGCAACTCCAATATTTATAATTTCCCTCACTTTTATTCCCGGGAACAAGAATGATCTGGACAGGGACACACAGCAATAAAAGTCTTCCAGTGATTCTATTTCTAACCCATCACTACTTTATTTAAATCTAAAAAGAAAAAGGTTTTGCCTTACCTTATACTTTAATTTGCTCCTTCATTATACACTTACCAAAAGTATGTATAAACTTTTTGACTCCGAGGACACAAATGTGTAAACTGGGTGCCAGCCAAAAATCAACAATGCGGGAACTTAGAAAGTGGTAACTCTTGGAATTGGTAACACATAAAAATGGCAGTAAGTGGAGCAATATTTCAGCAAGGCGCAGCTAAGCTTTGCTACTTTTACATGCTCATCCACTAATCTTTCCTGGTAACTATTATATTTCTGTTCACAATGCTGCTACGGTAAAAATGTATATACAATCTGATTTCTGCTCCACTTCTTGTTCTGCGTCCAGCATCTTGTTAATCAAAGAACCTTCTGTTTATATCTTTACTCATGTGCATTAACACAGTGCATAGTTCATAGTGGGCCCTTAGTGTAAAGATTTCAGTTCAAGAACCCTCTGAACTGCAATGCCTTCATTTCCCTTTCTCCCTAGAAGGCCAGAATCATCACCCAGGATTATGCAATGCATCAAATTATGTCTTTGTACACGTGTAGACATGTAGACACATTTTATACAGCTCAGCTCCCAATGTGTCACTTGCCAAAACGTTAAACTATATAGTCAGTTAAACTATATAGTCAGTGATCACTGTGGAAGAGAAGACTGAGGGAATCTGTGCTGTCTAAGGCAGACCTTGAGATACTATGCCTAGACATAACCGTTTAAGTGGAGCTGAAGGACCACTTTTAATGGTAAAAGGTTTTTGGAAGATTAAATATGGCTACATATTCTTGTAACATCAGAATATATAGCAATATTTAATCTTCCAAATATATATACATGCAGGTTTGTAAAGCTACTGATAGGTCCACTGTATCCTACTGCCTTCAGTGATGTGACATGCTCATATGTATATGTTTATCAGGTAACAAACCGGGGAAAGTCATTGCGCACACTTGGTTCTGCCTACCTGAATCTGATGTGGCCATATGAGATGGCAAATGGGAAATGGCTGCTGTACCCAATGAAGATACAGCTAAAGGAGAAGGATCTTTCTGGACGCAGCATGGAATGTAGTCCCTTAGAAGCAGTCAACCCCCTTAAACTGGTGTGTGAGCTCTCTACATGTAAATTACCCTACTCTTGTTCTCTGTTCCATACATACAACTTGGATATGCCCTAACACTCTGAATTTTCTCACAGAATACAGTCAGAGAGGACACAAAAAGCTTTGGCCAAAGCCAGAGCTCGGCAAGCCGATGGGCAGTTACCTATCCAGCAAAGAAGAAGGACGTTGTTTTGGTAATTATCACTGCAATGCTTGTATTGCTAATGATAAGGGCAAAGTCCTGGGGTGCTGTTCTCACCCTCTGGGGTGTTGCTCTTATGCTAAACAATAAAGTACATCATTATCGTTGCCCTGATTGGATAACAGTTTAGGGTCTAAGATATGACCGCCAACCTTCCAGATACCCACTGTAAGGTGAGGCTGTCATCCAGCTGGTGTAGTGAAAGGCTTAGCCACCATTCAATTCAGAAACAATGATAATATTTTCACAAATATTTTGTAGTTTATTTCATAACAAGCACGTAAAGCATAACTAAACACAAGAAAAAAAAAGATAATATTTTGCAGCTTAGCAGTCCTTTGGTGGTTATGTTAGATTTCATTTTTCAGGCAAAGAACATATTTAGCAAGTACAGAAAATACTTGTTCATCTTGCTGAAAATGCTGTGCTCCTGTGAGACGAACTGGCAGCAAAAACAATGTTATCTTTCTTGTTTAAACTTTTTCCCATGTTACAAAAGCTGACCTGTTTGAAGTCCATGTTTGAAGTTTGAAGCTCCCTCCATTGATACGGTAGATACAGAAGCAAGTATAGCCACCCAGGGACAGGAAGGGTGTTATTCACAGGATTAGCAGGTAAAAATAAGGAGAGGAAAGCCTAAAAAAAGAAAACAAATTCAGCCACCACAACTAAGGACTAGTAAGCTGCAATTTAAAAAAAGGTTTTTTTTGGTTCAGATAATCTTTTAGCTGCATCTACACCAGATGTGTTGGGGCTGCATTGGCCGTTTTTTCCAATTGGCTCTAAAGTTGTCCGATACTTGTTATTGCTTGTGAATAGAGGTGAACCTATGCATGACTGGATCACTCTAACTATAACTTTAAAGCCTGGCATTACTTTAGAATATTGACCAATGTATAGCCATCATAAGTGACCAGTCTTAAAGTGACATTAAACCCTCAGATTTTGTAACATAAACCAATACTGTAATGTGCGCCTTACTGTAATCCATGGTTGTTTCCCTTCTCTTTGCTGCTCTTCCTTTTAAATCCGTATCTCTTCTCATGCTGGGGGAGAACTTCCCTTTGCAGCTGAGTGCCTCTTCCTGTAGTGCTGACTCAGGTTGTGAACCTGCACACAGACACCATGTATCCATTTCAGAGACAAGGCAGTCTGCTGCAAAACAGAAGTTCTGCCCAGCATGAGAAGAGATACGCATTTTAAAGAGCAGCAAAGAGAAGGGAAACTACCATGGATTACATTAAGGCACACATTACACTATTGTTTTATGTTAAAAAAAATCTGAGGGTTTAATGTCACTTTAAGTGAGTTGTAAAATGAGGATGTCCACTTACACAAACAATGGCATGTAATGTACATCTTATTGGTGTACCTCGGCTTATATTTGGGACGGCTTATACTCGAGTATATACGGTAGTAGTCATACAATGACATAAACATCACTACCGTTATATTGTTCACTGTGTTCTGCTGTCAAATTACTTGGGGGGCTGTTGATCAACTGTACCTTAAAATGAAAACTTGCCCATAGCTCCAACTCTAATGTAGCATGAGAAAACGACACATTTGAGTGACAGATATAACAAGTCTGTCTATTTTTCAGGATTGTGCTCGCGGCACTGCTCACTGTACGATATTTCAGTGTCCTCTGTACAGTTTTGACCAGCAGGTGGTGCTTAATGTCCATGGACGGCTTTGGAATAGCACATTTTTAGAGGTAAATGCCAATGTAAACCCAACTATTATTATTCTGCGACAAATTAAAATGTACTTTCCTTTGATAATGTGTTATTTTTTTTCCTTTAGGACTATCCATCTGGTAGTGCCATAGAGGTGATCATCAGAGCAAATATCACTGTGAAGTCTAGTATTAAGAACCTAGTATTGAGAGATGCTACAACACAGGTACACTCACAACTTTTTGTCATGATTTAATTTTTTTCTGTTGAATACTGAAGTCATACCGTAGCATTCTATACATATGAACGTCTGTATTGTATGTATACATTGTATATTATGACACACGTTACTAGCTGGGGGTTAAGGTTAAACTGTATGTATTGCAGAGATTTTGCTTCCTGTCCTGGAGACACAGTTGTCGATGGAACAGGGGTTCCATTGGAATATTTCTCCTCTCTAACATTTTGTATTTTTCCTCTTTTCTTCTCTGTCTCAGTGACAATGGTCACCATGACAAATAGAGAGAGTGAATATGCATGAATATACCCAGCATAAACACATAATAAATTAGTAACATATCTTAAAAGTCAACTCCACCCAATAGGTATTCTCCATTATGGACTTAGTAGGACAGGATTGGATCCTTCTGTATATCTTTATTGCTGTCTGGGAGCTCAGCAGGGGTTCTCCTCTCCTAGCATGGCTGTGACAAAATAAGCAAATGTTTTAGTTGATTGCCCAAGAGAATGTTCCATTTATTGAAATGGAGGATCTGTTAGGCTGGCTATACACTGTTATATTTTTTTGTTCAAACTATGGGCTGAACGGAAGGAAAAAAAAAAGATTCCTGCATTCCTGGAGGCAATGAGCTTATAATGTAACCCTTGATACTACAGAGATAGCAATGATTACATCTATATGTTCTTTCTCTCCAGCGTTCTCTTGAATTGTATCTTGCTGCTAACGTATATTTATTTTCTCAGCTGCATCTAGTGGCCATAATGTGGTATTTTCCCCCAGTTACTCTGTATGAGTGTACCATTGAAGAACGTTTGACCAGAACATAAATTACACTAAGCACATTTGATTTGTGCCCCATTCTCACCACAGATGACTAACTCCGATAGAATGAATGTACCTGCAGTTTTGGTGGAGAAATAAGCTATGCAAATGTTATAGACTGCTAAGTGTTGCATCAAACTCTGTCCACTCTATCATACACAGGAAAAACTATTTTGGTTAAACTTGCTGTTTAATAATATGGCAGAGGAGGAGGGAGAAGAGGATCCCTGGGGGAGGGGTTGATGTCTATGAATACTTCTAGCCATGGCTGTAGCCAGCTGTGGCAGAGAGATTCCTGTCCAATATTACAGTTTTAATCCTTTTGTTTATACCTATAGATCTCTGTAATGCTGTACTCTGATCTGGATGTTGTGGCACATGCAGGGGTTCCTTGGTGGATCATTCTTATTGCAATTCTGGCTGGCATATTACTGCTATTACTCCTAGTCTCTATCCTGTGGAAGGTAAGCTGCAGGAGCCACTGGTTTTGTTGTAGTAAAATGTGTGGTTGAATTACTCTCATATCAAATGTAGGTCTTGTGAATAACTTTCTAGTGTGCACAAGTATTATAATGGCAGTTGTAGACTAGTGCCTAAGGCAGAAGGGTCAGGCTACATTCAAGCAGAAAAGTAAATGACAGAAGCGCCAGCACCTGAAACTGTGAAAATTAAATGTGATACACTCTCGAGGCAGCTCCCGCTGGTTAGGGCAACCAAAAAACTGAAAGAGAAGACAAAGAGAGCGCCTCCATCGTGTAAAAAAATGTTTTGATATAAAAGCAGCTAAAACCATACTCACAAACAAATGGATGTAGAGAAGACAAAGAGAGCGCCTCCATCGTGTAAAAAAATGTTTTGATATAAAAGCAGCTAAAACCATACTCACAAACAAATGGATTTAGCTGGAATAAGAAAAAGATGGGCAAACGAAGAACACAAATAGTGTGTGTGAACTGCAGCCAACAGGCTGTATGAGCTTCCTGGTTTACGCGTTTCAGAGGCCACGCCTCCTTCAGAACCAGATTGGCCTCTGAAACGCGTAAACAAAGAAGGACATACAGCCTGTTTGCTGCAGTTCACACACACTATTTGTGTTCTTCGTTTGCCCATCTTTTTCTTATGCCTGCTAAATCCATTTGCTTGTGAGTATGGTTTTAGCTGCTTTTATATCGTTATATTAAAACATTTTTTACACGATGGAGGCACTCTCTTTGTCTTCTCTACATTCAAGCAGGCTTAAGGCTGCAACTGGGTATTCTGTGGCAAAAACCTACCTGCATCTACGGACAATCATCTATTCAACTGTTCCATGTCCGATTACACATGGACAGCTACTGACAAATACGGCCACTGTCAGCCTGTCATTCACTTGAACGGCCACAGCGGTTGCACCTGTACAGACACAGATGGAATCCCCAGCTGCAATCTTAAGCCCCGAGTGAATGGGCCATGGGTGAGGGGGTTCAGAATCAAGCTTTAGTACTCACAAACTTTTTTTCTTATATTTTTTTTTTCCTCTTCTGGACACCCCTGGATATTTGTGGCTAATTTCAACAAGAGAACTATAGAGGAAAGGGGATGCAGGGGACATTGAGAGGCGTTTAAATGCTCTGTACAATTCAGGAAACATGGAAACATCTCTCCTTGTTTTTGTTTGATGATCCATACTGTGACAAATAAGCTTTGTATAGAACCCAGACAGAATGCATTCTCCAATAACACATTCTAGCATTATAGTGCAGATTGTCCACTGCTCCAATTCTTAGACCGAAATCCAACTGTGAATCATTCCACAGATGCAGCCAAGGCCGGCGCGCCTTCGCTGTATATAACAATCCTTCTCAGAAAACAAGCCGTACTTCCGTGGATCACCATGAATAAAACAATTTTTTATTAAAGTAAAGAATACATGATGTGGAAAGTAAAAACTGTTTATTGCAAAACACACAGACACAAAAAAAAAAAAACCCCATAACAACATCCTGTAACAATCTTGTGAAACACATGTGCAAGGTGAAAGGCAAACTATCCTAACTATATACCAATGGCAGTAGAAAGAAGAAGGTAAATGGGTAACAAGGCAGAAGGGGGTTCAGCCGGGAAGCAGGGTAACAGGAGCAGGACAGACCATGTACAGGTAGTTCACAATCAGGATGGCACAGAATACAGAGCAGGTTCAGGCACATAGGCAAAATACTGACAAAATTAGTAAATGGTGCGGTGGGACTAAATAGCTTCCCAGCAGCCAGCATTAGGTGGCAAATGACAGACACCAGCTGGTGGCCACCTGAACTGCACCTTTCCTGCTCAGTAGCTACAGTGCCACCACTAGGTCTTTCGACTGTCATTAGGTCATGCCTAGGGCCGCATGTTTTTTAAATACGGTCCTATATCTTAAGGCTCTGTGAGTCTCTGAACAACCAGTGATGATTTAAAGTAATATCATCAGTGTTATCCAGCACCTGAAGTGATATCACTGAATACAACAATCTGCTTAAGTGCTTCCATTACAGTAATGGAGATGCCTGACACTAAGCCAGTACTCCATGTTTTGCTTTGTTTCTTGCTTGAAGCATTTTGCTTATCTCCTAATTACATAATTTGCATTAGTTTTATTCCCCATCACTTTACAAAATGGAGTCTACTCGCACAGCTCTGAAAGCTCAATCCTCTGGTGTCCATGTAAATCTTTATGGTTGTTTGTCAATCTACAGCATTTAAAAAGGGTTCACAGAATAATTCATAGAATGAATTATCTTCTGGCACTTACCAAGAGATTACTTAAGTGTTCGAATTACAAAGTAGCTTAGTAAGTGCCTCAAGTAAGAGCCTGCATTCTCACTAAGCATTAACTGACATAGTAAGTTGCTATTAGCGGTAGAAGGAGACCTAGGTGTTTCATAAAAAATTCTAAGAGCAATAATACGGAATTATAAGTAATACCACCTTTAAGGCCCCATTCACAGCAGATCCGTTGCAATGCGTTTTTCAATGGATGTCAACGGATGCCAACGGTAGGTAACCCAAACAATTAATGGGAGTGAGTGGGACCAGTTCACACTGCTCCATTTTGATGCATTGCATTGTAAATGTTGGTGTGACCGGACCCTAAATGTGGCACATGTCTGTGTGCACCCAGACAGCCTATGAAACATAATTACAACAAACTTCATATAGGGCTAAACAGAATGTACTGCAAAGGGGCCTATGCTTATCAAGTATGGCAGCATTCAACAACTATGACTGTTCGAAATGCCTGAAATAGACATAGATAAGCCCATTACTTCTTCTGTTTCGTTCTAAGTAAAATAACAGAAAACACATACAAAACATTAAATAAATACAATAAAAGTTTATGTAAAGCTCAAGACAAAAATGTAATAGATTGTAGCTTACTTCTCCTTAGATGTGGTAATTGCATGAGTTTTCTTTTTTCAGGCCATTTTTCTCCTTTTTTTCCACCAAATAATCTTGCAAATACCAAACTTCCTGTGCTAGGGTGAGAATATTCATTCATTGTACTGTATCTATGAAGGAGTGATTTTGTCAGACTAGGCTACTCTACTGATTTGGAACAGAAACAGGTCCATAGCTTGGGAGGAAGATAACATTGTCTAAAGTAACAGTTCAGTGCACAGGAAGAAACAAGGGCACAACATTTCTGGAAGAATTAACAGGTATTGTCTTCAGTTGCTGAAAATGTTCTTATCGGAAAAAAAAAAGAAAACTAATGTAACTACCACATCTAAGGAGGGTAAGCTGCAATATATTACATTTTTTTCATGGGTTTCCATAGTAAGAGGTAAGTCTTATCAGCGGCTTCTTGTAGATCATATGTAATAGGGGCAAACACATCTCCACATGCAAAAAAAATTTCATCCATCATGTCCTAATTCTCTTTGGTATTCTGTTTCTGTTCAGCATATCGCACTGTAACCTTATGCTAATCAATACAGATAAACACAGAGTTTAGGTCAACAAACTTTAGCTCATTGCTGTCTTCGCCTGTTACTTCCAGTGTGGTTTCTTCAAGAGAGAGTCTGCAGAGGCCAAGTATACCACAGACTACTATCGGGCACAATTGGGGGTTCAGCCCTCTGAGGCACAGAGGCAGGCCGAGGAGGATTTCTAGCTGGTAACATCCAGCACGAGTGTGTTATGAAATGCTTATAGCCTAATAATGTTTTGGTGTTTAAAACTAACCTAGTTGTAATGCTACAGTGTGATTTGTTTGCAAATATTATTTAGGGTGGAAAAGATTGTTTTCAACCAACATACCTATTTAGTAATATTTTGTAATGGGTCTCTGTGTTATTTAAATATGTTTATCATGTTTGCTAAAATATTGCATGCTGTATGCTAGCCAAAAACTACAGTACAAGTTTACCCACACAGTTGTTAGAAGCAGATGCAGTGATGCTGTCAGTGTCCTATTTTCTAATAACCACTGCCTTGAATGTTTCTCCCATGTACTAGTATAGGTATGCCAAGATACTGTCCACCTTTCTCATATGGCCCACCTGTTTATCATAAAACCATCACTAACAGAAATAAGCTTCCAGTTGTAAAAAGTGTACACATAGAGGAACATTGGTAACAGAGAGCAGATATGGCTATCTACTCTCTGCTATATACAGCATGGCTGCTCCACATTGTGACCTGCATTTGATAGCATATTCTTATAATGCAGGCCATGGTGTGGGGCCCATGGTACCCCATGGCATTCTCTCTGCTGAATGCCAGAATGCAGAAAAGAGGGCTCTGTGATTGAAGGAGAGGTCAGTCACTTGACTTTGGCAGGCTTTGTACAGGTTTTTCTCTTGGCTTTCTTTCTTCTCCTCTTCCATTCAGAAAAATGTGCTCAGCACTCTTCTACAGGCTTTGGGACTCCAAAGTCAGTGGACTGCTAAATACATATGTAAAGCACATCCCTGTACTTTTATAAATGGACCTCCTAGGGTTGTAACATATGGCATGCAACTACGTTTAACATTTCTCTCAATAAGATGGCCTTGCAGGGGTTAACTGTTAAGTAGGGATGCACAGATACTTTTCGAGTACCAGTGCATATACTTGGCATTTTCATGAGAACAACCAGGGTTGCAGCAGTTGCAGCTGGGACCTGGCTCTGGCGCTCCACCACTGTCCTGAAATCATTAGTCTGTATTGTTTTAGAAAAACTGTCACATGACAATAAACAAAAATGTATCAGTACTCGTACTTGTAAGTACTCGGCAAGTACCAGTACTCGTACTCGCAAAACTGGTATCTGTGCATCCCTTTATTTATATTTATAAAAACAAAATCGTACATTAAAACAGAGATGTACAAATCCCAGGAGCTCCGTGTGCTCCTTACAAATGACAGCTGCCTCCTAACTTTTGAATTTTTCTCTAGTCTAGTCTTGGAGCTCAAAAGTATCGGTACATGGACTCGTACTTGAACCGAGTACTGTACTTGGTATCTGTGCAACCCTACAAGTGTTTCAGTAAAAATTATTAAACCCATTATGAATTACTTTCCATCAGTATTTTTGAGGTGGAATCGAAGAGAGTTCTGACACATTGGAAAATGTTTGATTATTTTTGATGAGTCTGCATGTGTGTGTGGTATAATTAAACAATATCTCTTCAGTTTTGATTTTTAGAGCATGCAAAAGCCATATAAAAAATCATTTAAAAAGATGGTCATTTTATTTTTTAAAAAGAAAACCTGTGAGGTACCACTAAGGGAATGAACTCCCATATACAATCCAACATTTTTTGTTTAATCTAAAAAACTTAGTGTGTGTGGCTATTATTACAGAGACTTCACTCCACAAATGATAGCTGCAGTGCTTTTGACTACTTGACTACTACTAGTGCATGTTCTTGAAGGTGGAAAAGACAAGACACTGCTATATTTTAGTTATACAGTAGTTACTGTATAGTAACATATCAGAATTAAGCTTTCAATGATCTGACTACATTTACTCGAAATTTGGTGAATATGTTGGAAATCATCATTGTTGTTTACACTGCAATATGGAACACATCCACTTCTATTGAATTTTAATATATAGCTATAGAGGTAAAGGTAAAAGCAGGGTTAGTGAGCTTTTGTGCTCTTTAATAAAACTGATATTAAGGATTATATATACAAATATTTGCAAGCACAGTCAGAGTAAGTTTTTTCTAACATGTTTTTAGCATAATAATGAAATGTAAAATAGATTTTTATAAACAACGCGGCATTCTCTTCTCTCAGACACTATATTTTCTCAAACTTATCCTACAAATTGCAGACTCAATAACACAGCAAGGTGTTAGAAGTTTTATGAGACCTACTGCAGCACCAGTATACTCAGAACTTATTTGTGCTTCCTTCTGTTCACCAATACAGAGACATTATGTTGTGTACCATACTATACTATACTACCATACTACATATTTTGCATCTTTCTCTTTCAAAATGTCTATGGAGGTAAGAAATATATATATATATGTATAATACTGCTGCAACAGTTCTGTGAAATAAATGACAATGACAAGACTAAGGAACAACATAAAATATTATTTACAATTACACAATTTATGATGCTCAGTTGGGTGGAAGAGGCAACATATAATTCCCAGCTACTATATACAGGACAATTAAAAATTGTCCTGGTGAGTATTGATCCATGGGCACCATTTTTAAAAATTATAACTTGTTAGCTTCACATTGCAGAAAATCTATTCTACTTGTTCACAAAATGCCAGTAGTAAGAAAACATGAGTAAATACCAACTACACCGGCACAAAGACCTCCATGAACAGAAGGTCAGTTGTTTGGGCAAGGATATGCTTTAACTATAAATCTCACTTCTGCACTACCCAAACTGAAGAATGAGTGTGGTGCACTAGAATGGATCAGCAAAATAATGCTTCCAAGCCAAATGGAATGCAAGTTCAAGTGTGTGTTTAGTTCAGGTTTCAAACTGGCCACAACCAGATTCATTGTATTTCCAGCAATCAAATAGGCAGCACAAAAACATAGGGGAAAAATAACAAAATAATCCCAGCATCTTCTGGCACTTTCTAGGCAATTCAACTCCTTTCTTCCAGAGAAAAGCAGTTGTTTCCAACTCCACAAAATAGTTTGTACTTAAAGGATGGCCATCACATGTTCTTTCTCTCCCTGCAGACCAACAAAACTAAACAAGAAAAAAAGTTTAGCTGCCTTTAAACATAACATATTTACATCTTCCTCACTGCAAGTTGCCACTCGTAACCTTCTCTGAGCAAGGGTGAGCTTGAAGAGAGCATAAATGTCAGAAAGTGGGATGATGGGAGAGGAGGCAGCATTGGAAATGATTGTAAGGTAGGAGAGGGGAAGTAGGGTGTGCGGTAGGTTAAAGCAACACTAAACTCAGAATTTAAACCTTAAAACTGTATTTAAGTACCCTGACCATTAACAAAAATGTTACATTTGTGTATCACTCAGCTGTAGATCCTCAAATCATCTCTGAATTAGTGCGGACACTGTCCTTCCTTCTGGAGGGTGGCTACTTTTGTTCCCCATGGTTCCTGTGTGTGTTGTTCAGTAGCCAAAGCTCCAAGCTCGCTCCTGTAATAGACTACAATCTCATGTTTAGTTTACTAATTTGTATTGAAATTATAGTCTATTACAGTTGTGAGCTTGGAGCGGTGACAACTTCAGAACACACACAGGTATCATGGGGAACAATAGTAGTCACCCTCCAGAAGGAAGGAGAGTGTCAGCATCAATTCAGAGATGATTTGAGGATCTACAGCTGAGTGATACACAAATAAGATACATTTTTGATAATAGTTAAGGTACTTGAATGCATTTTTAAGATATAGCTCGTGAGTTTAGTGTCCCTTTAAGGGATTATATTGTGTACATTCAACATGCTGTGCTTTATCACGCAGTAATTGGTAAGTTTGCTTGAATTCACATTTCAGTTGTGTATATGCCACTAGAATAAATGTTAGTATGCTAATTGTAACCAATTTTTTCCACACGGCACCTAGAAGAAATAAACTATTACGAATAGAAGTTGAGGCAGTGGGAGAGCAAGTGAGATGAAGGAGAGTTTGCATTATTAAAGGAGAACTATGGGGTCAGTGTTTTTCCCCATAGTTCTCCTTAGGGTAACGGGAGGACACAAACTAGCGTCCTCCCGTCACCCTAAGCTCAGTATACCGCGAGCTACAGCTCGCGGTATACTGAGACGCCGCACCTGGAGCGGATCCCGACTTAGATGACGGGATCCGCCCAGCTGCGTGAGTGACAGCTGGCTCTGCCTATCTAGAAGCAGAGCCAGCTGTACCCGCCCCCTCCCCCGTCCGTTCCGCCAGTCAGCGCTGGCAGATCGGAGCGGGGAGAGGGGAATCCAGCCCCTCCCCTGTCACGGCAGAGAGCCGTGACAGGATCGAGAGGTGAGGGAACACGGTATGTTTTCCCTCACCTCCCGATCTACTGAGCCGACCTGTGACAGTCTCATTGTCACAGGTCGGCTTAGAACTATGACGTGAGTGGAAATCACTCATCTCATAGTTCTCCTTTAAAACAGGGTGTTTTGCAAAGGCTGATTATAAATATGCTATTCTCTGTATACATGCAGCTAGTATAATACCTGAATTTTACTTGATTTTAGCCTCTTGCAATTCACTACAGAGCAGCACTCAGACAGTGAAAGCGAGGGGCAGTACTTGGGGCCAATCATTTGTCTTGCATTAACATGTGCTAACAAGAAACATGCTCACAGGTAGTGGAAAGCAGAGGGATCATCTCATCAGTCTCTTGCTGCTCCTTTACTGTTTGTTCAATAAGTTGGGTCAGGAGGGTGACCAGGCTGTGTTGTGCTGTATATCTCAGGTTTGAATAGAGAGAAATACAAATCCTTTGGCAGGTTAGCCAGCTACTATGTATATTTTTCAACTGTGTATTTAACTGTTTGCACAGAGTTCAGCTTTAATACCATAATGCCAGGCCTTCTGAACTCAATATACCAAGGACTGCAGATTTGACAGTCATTGCCTGCCCTGAGATAGAGCTTTGTCTACATCTTTTCTGGACTTCTCTCTTCCCGGCTGGCTATGATTGATTATCAAGCTTCTATAGAATGTGGCTACCTCCCTAGTCAGCGAGTGCTCCATAGACAGCTTCACTCAACTCTAGCTTACTGCAAAGACACATTTAGCAGGAAAAAGAGAAGAGCTGAAGATATAGGAATGCAACAGGCAGTCACTATAACATCTATTTATGTCTTTATCTGGGATCTGTAATATATAACATAAATGTGAGTTGGTGGTATAGTACACTTTGTGCAACATATATCCTTAAGTAGAATTAAATTAGAACAAACATTTCCAACCAGATTCACCCAAAATATGGTGTCCTGAGGTCCATTGCACCACATATTCTTTGCTCTTATTGAACCATATCAACATTTCAATGGCAAAAAAAATACATTGTATTTAGGTATCCTTAAAATGTATAAGTTAGGTTCGGTATGTATACGTTTGGTATAAGTTAGGTTCTGTGGAAATATAAAACATTTCCACAGAAAAGGCCTAAGGAACAAATTGACTATACCTTGACTTCTGATGCTAGACTTCTCTGACATATGCCTTGTCCATTAGTGTGTTATTTCCCTTCACTTTCATGTTACCACATATATATATTATTAACAGGTGCTGATACCACAACACTGAATGTGACGTATGATAGCTACATATAATAATTCACTTCTGCTATTTGGAGAATCATTTTTTTTATTGTCATGACAAATGTGAATAATACAAAAGCTTAGAATATGGCAACATAAATAAATATATTTATACAATAATTATGTGAAGTGTTGTTTACTTTATTTTTTTTTTTTTGCGTCAGTCTGAAAACATATGTGTTGGTATAAGTTAGGTTCCTGGTTCACAGTCCATCAAGCAGGGATATGAAGTCATCATACATGCCTAGTTTAGTTTCACAGTACATTATTTTCCATGCAGTTGTAACCTGGTGCTATCACAGCATGACTGTGATCAAATAGACCAGAACAATGTTACCATTAGAGAGCCCATCTTTATGAACAGCATTGGTATTTGTCTATTACATGGAAAGAGCAGCATCATGGTTAAGCAAGATGGCAAAATAGCTGATTTGGAAAAATTCCCCCAATTCAGATCACTTTTCAGTTCAGCTATGTTGTCCTAGATTGTTCACTTCTCCTGACTTCTCCAAACTCTTCACCCTTTTGTGAATAACCCTGTAAGAATACATCAGAGCTATACATTTATTAGGTTAAAGGAATGCTCCCACTCCCCAGCTGAAAGTGGACTTTATCTCAGAAATATGATAAGTAGAGTAACATAGGGGTCTATTCACGAAGCAGCCGAAGGATCTAGCCGTAGCTTTGGCCGATCCTTCGGCTAGCTTCGGCCCCAGTACCCCTTCGGTTCAGTAGAACTGAAGGGCTGCTCTACGGGCTATTCACTATAGCCCGTACAGCTCCCGAACTTAGCCGAGCGGCTCAGTCTGCTTCTGACAGCTGGGCGGAGCCAGCCGTGATATTACGGCTGGCTCCGGTCACTTGCAGAGAGATCTCCAGCCAGCCCAACTCTCCAGGGGCGCTCCAGGAGAAACACGGCTCCATGTCAGAATAGAAAAAAATAAAAATAATTTTTGACCATAGGAATGCATTGCTAGATTCCTATTGGCTATTTCAATTTGCAATAGCCAATAGTAAACTAGCATTGCATTCCTATGGGCACATTTTTTTTTTCTATTCTGACACGGAGCCGTGTCAGAATAGAAATGTTTTTTTTTTCAGCCGATATATGCCTGAAATCAGCCGTACCAGCCTGAAGTGAATAGCCGAACAGCAGGACCCTGAAAATGTTCTTTAATTATGAATTCCTCCCTGTCCTTCAGCTGCACCTAAGCCCTGCTGTTTTGCGAAGCACAGTGCTGTCTGCAGCATGACTTTCTGGTTCAAGGGGTTCCCAGGGCACACAGACGTTTTAATGAAGGGGGGTAAAAGTTAGACCATACACCTTTAGAACTAGTGCACATGGGCATTTCAGATGCATTTGCCAAGCATTCACCTTTGTTTGTATGGAGGTAAAAAATAAAAGCGCAGACTGATAAAAAAAATTATACTCACCCGATCATTAGATGCGGCCACCTGTCACAGCGCTCTCTCCACCCTCTCGCTGCAGTGATGGTATGTCCCTCTGTGTCCTCATGTCCATTACACAGTATATTGGGAGTGATGAATTGAGGATCCTTAAACCGCTGCAGTGGAGGGGAAGGGAGGCTGGAAGGACTGGTCTAAGAGCAAGCCGACTCGGAGGATTGGGTGAGTATAATTTATTAAGTTTAGTCCCTAGATGAAAACGAGCAGTTAATGTATGGGCATTTCAATAAAGTTGTTTTTTAGGGGGTGGGTAGCACTCCCAAGCTCCTCAACTGGTTCATTAGTAAGGCTGATATATGTCACTATACACATGCAACCCCCATTCACTTTTGATGCAAATACCAGCTGGAATTATTCTTTAGAAATAGCAGCTAAGACTAAGAGCCGCAAGTGTCCATGCTAACCTAAGATAGAACTTGTCTTTCTGCTGCATGCTGTTGGTGTCATCTCCAGGACTCTGTGAAGTCATTGCGTTTCATGGAAGGAGACGTGGCAGGCCGAGGTAACCATAGCAACCAGTGCTGCAAATTCACTGAAATCTATCTCCCGGTCATGGTTTGCATCCAAATCTGAGAAAATGACATCCAGTGTCTTTGTATCTTGAACTTGCTGTGGTGAGGAACAATATAGAAAAACAATTCTGTCATTCAGAAGACATTACAGCACACAAAGATACACTACATGACATTAAATGTATCTACTAGTTAATATACACTACTTGTTTGGTTAGGAAATTAAATTGGGAATTTTGTTAGGCAAAACGACAGGGCAGAGAGCGTACTAATGTAGTGATAACTCTTGATCATTATAAAGACTGCAGTATAAAACCCACTCAGAAGAGGAGAATAAAAGAATTCTCATCTGCGACCCAGAGATCTTCCCTGTATCCAGTCCACATAACCTCCAGCCGTGACAAGTGGCAAGGGTTGGTGTCCAGGATGCTGGGATCAGCTCAGCGGGATCCATGCTGTTGGATGGTACACAGTGCAGGCTGCAGCAGCTGAGAGGATCGGAGTCCCTCCCATTTACTAGGTCGATGTACTATAGGCTGTCAAGGCAACACATTTCCAGGAGGCATCCCTTATCTCAAGAGGCTTTGGCACGTGTCAGTAATTGTTTCAGTGATGTGACACAGTAATTACATGTGCAACACAATCAACAATTCTCTCCAACATGGAAGAGGTCTTATATGCCTCCACTTTGAGGGCTTGTTAAAGCCACACTAAGGGCCGAAAGATTACTGATGTACCACACTGGGTGTGTAAATTATCATTAAAAAGCCGGGTGTTATGTGCAGAGGGCAGCTGCAAATAAGAAAATCTTACCTTGCAGCACGTCGCTGCACCCCACAACGAACGCCGAGCTTCTGGACACTGAAGAGAGGGAGCAATGTGTCCTAAACTAGACATTGCTCCGGTCACATCACCCACCCCTCTCCACTATCCTCCAACAAGGAGTCATTCCTGCATGTGACACCTCCTCTGCTCCAATTGCAGAATATCTTGGATATTTTATATAAAATATCCGGACATTTTCTGAATGGGGAATAGTGAGGAGGGTGGGTGATGCCAGTGGAGCACCGTACAGCTCAGGACGCATTGCTCCCTCTCTTTAGGGCTCAGAAGCTCGGAATTATGTGTCTGGAACACCGTGCTGCAAGGTCAGCTCTTCCTACTTTGCAGGACCCTGTGCACACAATGCCAGCTTTTTCATGAAAATGTATACACCTAGTGCAACTCCTTATGCTGCACAGACATTATTATCTCCTCACCTTAACAAATGAGGACATCTGGGAGTTAATTAACTTTTTCAGATCTTTTTTCTTCAGTTTACAATCTTCTCCAGAATAAGAATGGAAGACCTGGATAATATTCACCATTGATCTTTCCAGTTCTGTTAGTTCTTCCCTGCAAGACACAAAAGTACAGTATATTTAAAGGTAAATGCCAACTTGCAAGACCTTCTCTAACCTCTAGTTAGCCTTCTGTGTTGTATAAAGAGACCTTCACTTTCTGTCCCATAGACTTCACAAGAAGCGAGCAGAAATTCCTTGAAAGTGAGGGAAATCCTCTCTTAGGCTAGCCATACACCTATAGATTATCAGCAGATTTTCTATGGTCAGATGGAAAAAGTGAAACAGATTCCTCCGTCTACGCTAAACTGTGTGGCTGGAGGAATCTCCCGCTGGGCCAAGCTTCAGTATCTTGCTAGTCGGCCCCGCTGGCTCTCAAAATACCTGAACAATCTGATTGGATGCAGGCATCGTTCAGGTATTTTGGGAGCTAGCGGGGCTGACCAGCAAGATACTGAAGCCTGGCCCAGATTTCTCCATCCACATAGTTTAGCGTAGATGGAGGAATGTGTTGCACTTTTTCCATATGACCACAGAAAAGCTATAGGTGTATGGCCAGCTTTAGGCAGTTATCACTGCAACAAATGTACTCATTGCAAGGCTTCCCCATTGACCAATGGGGGTCAGTGTTTTGGTGACAACCCAAAATGTTAGATTTTCCATTAGGAAAAAAAAAAAGAGAGGGTGACAAAGACAGCAATATACACTCCATGGGGTTATTAATCCTTTTTTAACCCTTGGCTTTCGGTACACTTAAACACAATTGTACAGTTAAGTAAGTGATGATATACTGTATTAACAGCTTATTCTGCCCTCCAATATACCATGCTTTTCATACACTTTCCGGGGCAGCAGGAGTCATTAGTAACTTTTACATATACAGCAATTCTAGAGTCTCTAGACAACCATCAGCACTGGTAGTAATGACCATAAACCCCCATAACTCCCAGGACTAAGCAGCCTTTCAAGACCATTGATGGATGAAGCCCCTGCAATGGTTTGCATTATTTAGTTGAATCTGCATCCTCACTGGAAGATCGGCATATTCCATTTAATACAGCATCCATAAATCTGACGTTTTTCAACCGGGATATTTTTCGAATAAACCTGTCATGACAAAAATATGGGGCTACCATTGCTGGCTACTACTGAACGTGCTACTTGCCTAGCTGTCAAACAAACAGCAAAGTTCAGAATTGTTTACCTGCAAACTTGCTCCAGGTCATTGATTCAAAGAACTTAGGGGATGATTTATAAATCACTGGACAAATGCCGGTCCACACAGCATTCTCACCACTAGATGGAGCCGAGAAGCATAGGAAGTCCAATGTTCCTTGGGGCCATCTAGCGGCGAGAATGCTGTGCAAATGCCATTCAGCCAGTTTCTGTTGGAGCAGACAATTTATAAATTATCCCCTAAAAATGTGTATTTCCACTCTTGCAGTCAAATTTGAGAAACACTCACTATATGTTTATTATGTGTTCCCATTCCCACAACATACCGAAAAAGAATACCTTTCTAGTTGTTTCTTTGAAGCAGGATTATACACAGGTCTGCAAGCTATGCTGAGCAATCTCAGAGGGACAAACTGAGAACAGAGTGGGTTCCCCCTCATTAACATACAATGCAGAATGCAAACCTTGAGATCTTTAACCCTTTGATAGGCTAGTGTTCAAATCTAGTTCACAATTGATAATGAAATATGTCAACACAGTACAGACAGCATTAATTATGGTAAACATTAACTCCACAGCCCCCTCCTCAAGACATGATCCATACCTGAGTAAAAGCTCAAAGCTCCAAAATGCTCAACAACCAACATCCCATGCTTTGGAATTGTGCCAGTTCACATAGACACCTGTAGTTCAATGCCTGAAGCTCAAGAAGGTACATGAGCTTACTTTGAGACAGCATTGGGTGTTCTTGGAACCGCAGACTTCAATGGAAGCACCTGAAACCACCTGAAAATGTGCGTTTTTCATGGCTCAACAACCATCTCCTCCTCCTAGTACCTAGCTTTGCATTGGCTAAAAATAAAAACGCTCAAGTCTGAATGCTCCTGAAAACACATACAAAAGTGCACAAACAAACGCTGCAAAATTGCCTGTAATCGGTCATGTTCAGTTGTGACTGCAGCCTCACATTACATAGAGGGGAAGATAGGTAGCGAGTTTAATTGAGTAAACAGCACTTTGAAAAATGTAAGCAACAATTTTTAAATATTTTTTCATGTTATGGAATGTAAATGGGAAAATGGAACAAATATAAAATAGCTGTTATCCCAATTTGGCTGCAAAAGTGGAAATACACTTTAAATAACAGGAACACTAAGACAATGAGCAATAAGCAAATGAGCGATACCAGACTCCGTTTTTCTATAATAAGAGTGAGACAGATGACAGTGTGGGTGGCTCATCCACCAGGAGCTTACCTACTAGCATAGCTCTGATTTCTCTCCTTTACAGCAAACGTATTTCACAAATAAAATCATTAAGGGCCCAGTCCCACAACATTAGTGCGTGTTACCGTGTTCTGCATTAAAGGCCCTCTGTCATGAAAAAGGAATGGTGGCCGTCATTGCTGACCTCTCCTTTAAAAAGTATTCTAGCTGTCAGGCCAATGGTTTGGCTTTATTGCTTTCTGAGTTACTGACCCAAAACAAGCACAGGTATAATGAGTTCCGACACTCATTTACTTGTTCAGGTCAGTGACTCTAAAACACTGAAGCCAGAGACAGGCAGAAAAACTAGCATTTACAAAAGATGGTCAGTGATGGCAGCCCCCCATATGTTTCTCATGACAGTGTCACTTTCAGGCAGCCCATTCATTTTGAATGGGCTGATAGTGTACCTTATCATATTAATAATCAAAAATTATATATTTTTTCATAACACAGTGCACCACAACACATGGCATGTGCGTTGTGGTGCACTGAAGTGAAGGTGTTAGCCTGCTACTGTAACAGTGGGGTAGGGTGCCACTCAAAATAATTATCTTTGCAGTACCGTGCAGCAAAACATGCGCTTTAACCTGTATTACTGTAACGTACCAATGGGAATGATCCCCACAATAATTCCTGCAATTAGACAGTCCTGATTTCCCCTCATTCTCCATTCATTTAAGACACAGATGAGTTAAAAATGAATTGTTTTCGGCACAGATTATTCTAGGGACACTTGCAAATTGCTAATACTGGATAAACATACAGTACATGCAGACTCAGACAATTCAAGAACAATGGTAAATGAACTCGTTGGGTACTAAATGTAGCAACACAGATCCCAAACTTTAGAGTTTACAGGTTTATGTCTAAAAAAATGTTTCTGCTAAATAGTTTATGCATTGGTAGTTATCTTCATTGTAACAATAGAATTGTGTTTGTTATTAGGACTATAAATACAATTGTTACTCCACTTTAAGTATTACGCTATTATGTCTAAGCAAGTGTAATCTGTCAAAAAATGTCGAATTTGCTTTGCTTGGTATTGTAGCCATTCCTTGGTGTTCCCAGGCATTACAGTCTATTGTCTTTGCTATCTATAAACTAACTGGCATAGAAGAGGTAATAACCAGTGCATTCTAATATACAGAAATACAGATACGATGCAGAACAACTTTAAAACAAAAGCAATAATTAAAGTGGCAGATTATTCACTATAAAATCACTGCTTTATCTAGTAGGCAAGTTAAACAATATAAAAATAGAGTTACCGATCAGGCAAATTGGAAGAACTGGCCATGTTCCTGTCTGTTGAGGCAACTGAATGGTTCACCATATACAGTATGCCCTACTTTACAATGAGCGTTTGGATATCCACCTTCTTCCAACCTCTTCCCATAAATCATTAAACACTTAAGAGCAATTCCTTTCTGACAATAAATGAGATCTTAAGAGAGCATAATGGGAAGTTAATGCAAAAGCCATTTAGTTAAATGTATTTTCAGCTATAAACGCTAATAGATCTGCTGTTGTCATCTCTTGGATGCTGAGCAGTATTACTGGCTATGGCTATTGGTCTCATTGAAGCCTATTCATAAAGAGATGAAGCTGATTTCCTTTTTAATTTCAAATGGAATTGTAATTTTTATATACGCACAATTTCTGTAAGTACTCCACTTGTACTTAACACATAGATGCTGATAAACAGGATTTTTTAGATTTATTATTACAGGATGTTATGGTTTTGCTGTTTATTGTAAAATACACTTTATGGTATTTATAAGGATTTGAAGTACAATTTTAACAGGGTATAATTGGAACATTTTTCTGAAAATGTTTTGAGACTTTACAGTGGTGAAAATTGCTCTCCATTGTTATTAAATAGAATTAAGTGGCATCTTACCCCAGTGGTGAGTGGTAATGCCCAGCCCACCACTGATTGGGTGGAAGTGCCCAGGGTACTTTCTTTTTTGGAGCTCAGGTTTGGCTTGGAGTTCATCCCTAGTGTAACCTATGGCCGCACCAGAACTATACAATCACTGCTGATCGGCACATTTAGGTCTGTTTTTGGTGAAAATATGTCTAATTTCCAATGGTAAATCTGTCACAGACCTGTGCAAATCTGTGTAGTTTGCTGCCTAGTGTCACAGGCAAAGGGGGTCGCAGATAAAAACTGTTGCAGAGACTTTCCTAAATGACCGCCAGCCTGATTTCCATCTACATTTGTCGCTAATTTGCTTGATAAATGTCCATTTTAGTGTTCACATGCATCTGAAACAATGTAAGCACAGTAGCGTGTACTGCATCTCTGTTTACATTATAGATTATATTTAACAAGACTCGGTCAATGGAGAAGAGGGAGTGAAAGTGCTGCAGGTATGAAGTGCAGGTACAGACGGATGAATCTCAGGCCATTCTAGCAAGCAATACTTTTACATTTGATAGTGATAAATCTTGAGGCCCATTCCTGCCTCCAGTCAGGCTACTGTTCATAATGATGGGCCAATAGGAAAGTGTGGGGTAGAGGGCTTATGAGCAAACCCTAACACCACCCAAAACTGTCAAAGCTTCTGCTTTTAAAACACCTATGTATTGCAGTTACTCCCTGGAAAAGCATCTTGTCCCCATGCCGATGGAGAAAAGGGCCTCTTCCCCACAACCATGACCCTGTGGTTGTGGGGTTTGCTGGCTTATTTGCATCGGGGTACCCCCTTTCACCCAGATGCTGCCCCCCATTGTGAATAAGTAAGGGATACTTGTACCCCGACTCATTCACTAAAAGGTTAACAAAAATGTAAATAAAGAGACCAAACTTTTAAAAAAAATCTTTTAATTGAAAACAAAACCAAAACGAATGTTCACAGCCACTGGGTCAGGGTTGTGGGGAAGAGGTCCTTGTTCCCATTGGCATGGGGTGCTTTTCCAGGCTTGCTTGTCTGGTTTGGAATGTTAGGGGGGACCACACTTTTTTTCGGTTTTGGGCAGTGGGGTTCCCCCCTAAAATCCCTACCAGATCTAAAAGGCCTGGTATAAATTATGGCGGGAACCCCACGCACTTTTTTTTATTTTTAACTCGGAGTCCCTCCTAGCATTCCTACCAGACCTAAAGGGTCTAGTATGAATTGAGAGGGGGACCCCGCGCAGTTTTTTTCTTTTTTGACTGTTTGTCAACATTTTGTGGGGGGGAGAATGGTCGGCTTCGGCAGACTGTTCTCCCCACTTTGGCTGTTCTCCCCGCTTCGGTTGTCACATATGCTTCGGCTCGGCTGAGTGCTTTGGCTGCCTTCAACTGCTGTACAGGCTATGAACCGAAGGCTCTGGCGGCTGAAGTGAGCCGAAGGATTAGCCGAACCTATGGCTATATCCTTCGGCTCCTTTGTGCATAACCCCCCTTCGTTTTCCGCCACAGTCACTCAAGAACGCGGATATGTCTTTTTCTGGTTTCCTCTGATTGTCATGGTTGTTAAAGAGGGTAAATAACACACACACTGCAACACACATGAACACAAAAAACAACAACACACATCCTAACACCCCATCCACCCTTCTACCTATCCAAGTTCCCAGGATTCTCTTTACAACAGCTGCTTCTGCCTGTCCATAACCAGCTCGGGGGAAGGGTGGTCCCGTGGCAGTGCATAGCGCTCTGCACGAGTGGTGGTACATCACTTCCGCCCCTGCCATGCATGCTGCTAACTAGGACCCTGAAGAGGGTGGGAGCTCAGGGTAACTGGCCAGTTTGCCCACCCCTAACAACAGCCCTGCCCCCAGTAACAGATTTCTTTAACGCGGAACTCCAGCTTTATTCAAGTCACTTCCTGTAAGCCCAGGCTGTCATGGACCCACCCCCTTTGGGTACATTAACAAGCTAACCTAGGCTCACAGGAGAATGTTGCAGAGAGTAGAACCTTGTCGTTACATGGCACCATTTTCTGCAGTATTCAGGACCCGCTCATTCCTGGAGAAGGATGAAGAGGAGTCATCATGCCACTTGACTAGACCTCAGTAAAAGGTATGTATAGTTTTTATTTTAACAGGTTGTGGTGGAGTGCACTAAAGGGTAGGGGGCAATATCTCAAGGCAGTGCAAATGGTGACTTTTGTCACTGTGTGATTGTGGCAGTCTCAAAATACTCCACTGCCGTCAGAATGTAAGAATGGCACGCTCAGCCTAACCCTGCACAGAGATTTTCCAGCTCAAGGGACAACAATCTAAGTACCAGCAAACACAGAGTGATCATCACTGAGGTTGGTTAACGCCGTAACTTGACATACCCAAACAGTAGATGTCACCATGTGTTTTAACAGAAACATGTACCATTCACAGTATCTTTTATAGCAACTCTGATCTTCAAGAAGTGTCTGCAACACCCAGACAGGGATAAGACAAGAGTTTAAAATAAGGTAGCTTTCTACAAAATGCAAGGATTCTTCACATTCTGATTTATAGGATTACAGATAAAACTTAACAATGTTTTTGAATATTGTTTTAATAAAAGAAAAATAATTTAATAAATGCTGTTACTGTTTATGCATTCCAACCTGATCTTGTCATGAGTTGAGTATTTTAGTGGGTGTGATATAAGAGGTGTCTCACACACAAGGTTTGTTAAATCTATTTGTCTGTTGTTGACGCTCATTCTGGAGAAAAGAAGGGCACTTTGAGGGGAATTTATCAAAACTGGAGTAGACAAAATTTGGAGCAGTTGCCCAAGGCAACCAATAAGCTTCTCTCTTCAGTTTGGCCAGTTGGATTTCCCTCATTTGGAGGAAAATTTATCTTACTTCCTGTGTATCTGCAGGACAGAAAGTGAAGCAAGATCCACCCAATGGCACACAGATGGCTTTGAATATGGGGATGCAATCCACCCTGCCATTATTTAATGTCCATTTAATAGATATTATTATTTATCTATTTGATACATTATTTATTTTATAATGTTATAAAACATTGATGTGGAGTGGTGCTGTCTCTCAGACCAGCAAAAAGTTGCTGGTTTGGGTGCTTGGAAGCCCAGTGTGAGCAGCTATATAAGAGGAAGCTTCGTCCAATGCTGGCCAATGGTTGAAGAAGACTGTATTATGGTAATGGTCTGATCAGGGGAATCCCTAACCTCTTTGCTGCCTGAGGCAGCTGCCAGGAGCTGGGCGCGACACCTGCAAGAGCATCCCAGGATGCTAAGAGCTGGGTCCGGAGATGTGTATGGCCCTTACACAGGGGCGTCCCCAGGCCGGGTGTCACCTGGGGGGATATCGGATGACACCCCGTCGTGACGTCATCGCACATGTGTGGCCATCTTTGTGATACCTGCCGGTGGCCATCTTGGTAATAGATGCTGGCAGAGAGGAGGGGACGTTCACCTGGCGGGATAAAGTATGCCGCCAGGTCTCCTCCTCTCTCCTGCAACTGTTGGGCTCTCGGCCCATGACCCAGTGCCCGACTTTTCAGAGGGGGGGACACCAAAATGACTCATTCATTTTGATGTCACCCGGGTGAAGGCCGCACCCCCCCTTATGACGCCACTGCCCTTACACATCTCCCCACTTGGCTCTTTGCAACCTGGGATGCTCTGGCCCGGCCGGAAAAGAGCGCGGCAGGCACACTGCAAACATTGTACAGCAGAGCGTCCCTGCTACTCTCCCTGTCCCCCCCTTCCGTGATCCAAAGAGGCCGTCTGAGGCTACATACAACCCCAGGCTGCCTCATTAAAGGGACGGCCCTGGGTCCGATTGTGACAGTTGATGGAGCTGCAGTGACACAGACAGGAGGGAGTAGCTCTGAGCTCTTGTCAGGTAGTCAGAAAGTGTCAGGCTGTGTGAATTTAGCGTAGATGGAGGAATCTGTTGCACTTTTCCATCTGACCACAGAAAATCTGCAGATAATCTATAGGTGTATGACCAGCTTTACAGTTCTACGCCATGCACAAAATAGAAAGTGACCGCCAGCACACCACTAGTTGTAGAACACATACTCTTGATTTACTTTTTAGGCATGGCACCTATGGCCACGCAGGGACCCCTTTATTATGATCTCAAGTGGTGCATAGCAGTGTGCTGTGTTTGCAGTGCCATTTAAGGTGAATGGCACCCTAACGCTTGACACCGGATGATCCGCTGCATGACGCACCACCCCATGAAGCACATGACTTGCAGTGCATTAAAAACAAATGGGGCATTTATGATTATTGGTGAGCTGACAGAATGAAATGGCTCCCTAACACAGCACACTGTAATGTAGAAACAGCTCATACTGCAAAGGGGCCTTTAATCCCTCTGGGGAGCTGTTGGGGAGGACTGGCTTATGGTGATGGTCAGACTGTGACAGTTGATGGAGCTGCACTGACACAGATGGGGGAGTAGCTCCAAGCTCTTGTCAGGCAATGTCAGAAGGTCTCTGCCAGATGGAAGAGGGCTGTAAGAGAATGAAGCGAGATGACTTCTTGGATCTCCTGCCACATGAAGAGATGATGATGTCTACCTTTGATCTGGTGATGAACTTTAAAGCTGACCTCTGGGATAAGGAAATATTGTCTAAACAGAAGCGACATGTGTATTACTTGAATCTTTGTGTGCTATGTATAAGTCTGTGCAGTAATCCAGTGCAAAACTCTGCCTGTGTGCATGAGCTTCCTGTATTAAAGACCAGTCACTAATGCTCTCTCTAATCGAGCAGGGCTGCTAGTCTTGTATCCGCCCCCCTCCTGAGGTTTTCTGCAGGCAGCCTGTACTAGGATGGAGCTGATGGGCCCATCCCACAGCTATGTTCAGGCTAAATCCATCACACGGATGCTGTCAGTATTTTTTACAATGTAATAACTGGGTTTGAAAAGGTATTTGGTGCACACAAGATGCATTTACATGCTTTGTGACCATTGAGGAATGAAATTAAATGAAAGCTGTTGTGCCCGGAATTCAGCTTTAAGTACACATTTAGGAAAAATACCTTTTTTAACACACTGAATGATTATTTTGTGCCCCAGATATACTATTGCATCTCTAACTGTGAAAACATGACCTCGGTTTACCAACATATACTAGTCCTTTCAAATATAAGGCTTTCCATTGGCAATGACTGGAGGCCTGAAGTAAATACCAAAGTGCACTTCATTACAATTTACTAAACGTCCTAAATGTGAAAACCGGTCTCTATCCGTATACAGCACCCGACTCCGCTCGAAGGCTTAGCAGAGGACTACACTAAAATGGCTTCTTCTCCTAGGCCAGGATGTCTGCGCTCTCTAGTCACCGCGGTCCCGGAAGCAGTCCGCCTCTACCCGGAAGTGGCGTCACGCCCGACAAGGAGGCTTGTATAGGCAGCGGAGACGGGTAATCATGGTGGACTGATCGGAGGGTGCTCGGTTGGGAACGTAGAAAGGGCCCTTCGGAGGGGATGGATTCCTTACTGGCCTCCGCCAGCCGCTCCGAGGACGAGGACTCGTCTGCCGGACACAAGAGGATTCTCTCCCAGGGGTCTGGCCTCATCCCTAAGAGGAGGAGCTCGTCCAGGTGATGTCCCGCCCCTGTGACACCATCACAATGTTATTGTATGGAGACCGGGCCTGGCACCGCCGTGGTGTCCAGGTAGTGTGCGGAACATTGGATACGCAGGCCGTCATATGACTCTCATAATGAAGGTCACTTCATAGATGGGTCACCTTCTTCCCAGGAACAGAAAGTGTACCTGTCATGAGATCAGGCCATCGCTCAGCTCGCTTCTCAAAATGCTAGTTGTCTAGCTTACATTCTAATTAAACCCTTGTCAGCAATCATTTTAAATAAACCCTTGTCAGAAAATATTTTATGTGTATGTGTAAAATTATATATATATATATATATATCTCGTACCTTCACCCATAAATTGCACTCACCATCGTCAACTTTCTCCTCCCCCAGCCTCCAACACAATCACAATTTTCTTCGGGAGGGGGACCTGTATTATTTTTGGTGGTACTCGGTCCTCACCTAGAATGATGTCCCCTCCCGGGATGCAGTCCACACATGCAGTAGGGGGTCACCTGTGAGTGATCAGGAAGTGACAGCTCCCAAATCCAAGATGGAGGCATGGAAGATCAGAAGACGCAAGCGAAATTGGTTGCAAAGAAGACAGCGCTGGACTTCATGGCATGGTAAGTATGTGTTTCCTAAAAGTCAGCAGCTAAAGTATTTGGATGAAGAAGATCCTGCACACTTCCCAGCCTAGAAGTTGGGGGAAGCTCTGCACAAGATGAATAAAGCAGGGGGAGGGGGATGTTAGTACAACATAAAGAAAAGGAGCTTTACAGTCGGAGTTTTTATGAATGAATGTAATCAGTAAAAATAGTAATTGGAGTACAGTAGAGTTTTTTTGTTTGTTTTTTTTTTTCACTGGAAGAGTTGAATACTTAACTTTATGGACCTTCAATTAGTTTGTGGTAACTGTCAGAAAACTGCTGACATTATTTATATCTCCACTTGTTTTAGGTTGGTGTCCTAAATGGCTCTGAAACCAATGCATCAGTATGACAGCTAGGGAATTAACATTTCCAAAAGAGTCAGCAATGGCAGCCTACATAATTCTCTCATGACAGGTGCACTTTAAATGGACTCTCCCAGCCTCTGTTTCCCCAGTGCTAACTGCAGAAGCTAGCTGGGCTTTAGTGGATCCCACCAATAAAACTGTGTTTTGGCCTACCTGTACTGCAGGAGTAACATTGCATTCAAGTCTATTGGAGGTTGGCGCACTGTCGTGCGCACTCCTACACTGGATTTGTACTGGTTGGACACCGCAGCTTTATACTGCAAATCAGTCTACCATGCTGTCCTTGGAATGGTGCTGTAGTTGTTTACAAGACAAAAGCATCAAATAACCTTTGCTGTAATAATTTAACCAAAGTAATATTTTAGTGTTTTATAAAATATCTCCCAAAGACACATGTACATTATTTCCCATTTATCTCCATTTCTTTCTGTGTGTAGTTTATTCTTTTACTTTCTCTGTTTTTACAGGTTTATTAAGCGAAAGAAGTTTGATGATGAATTGGTGGAAAGCAGTCTCGCTAAATCAACAAGTCGGGCACGTGGGCCCAGTGGGGGAGAGCCAGGGCGATGTTCAGGCAGTGAGCCTTCATCTAATGAGAAGAAGAAGGTAGGTAATTGTGTGACTAACAGTACATTCTGTTCAATGTACATTTTCCCTGTTTAATATTTTAGAATGGTGACCGAGGGCTTGGGGCTACGATATTATGGCATTCATTAACTGTTTTGCCTACAGATACTAGTAGCTGTAATGTTTTACTTTAAAGGAGTGACCTTTGCTTATCTATCTATCCCGGTGTATATTTATTTTTATTACACATATTTATATAGCGCTGACAATTTTACACTGCGCTTTACATAGTTCATAGTATGCACATTCACATCAGTCCCTACCCTCAAAGAGCTTACAATCTAAGGTCCCTATCTCGCATGGCTTAGAGAGGAGCCAATTAACCTTCCAGCATGTCTTTGGAGTGTGGGAGGAAACCCGAGTACCCGGAGAAAACCCACGCAAGCACAGGGAGAACATCCAAACTCCTTGCAGTTAGTGACCTGGCCGGGATTCGAACCATGGATCCCCAGTGCTGCAAGGCAGAAGCGTGCGTGTTTACTTTTCTTTCTTCTTATAATAATAATGAGCAGGTGTGATGGAATGACACCTTTTTATCCATAATCTTGGCTCATCTTTGCAATTTTAAATTTCTGGTTCTACAGTACTTTGTCTTCCTCCTTCAAGCTCTCTTTTGAAAAATGTATTCGTTAAATAGGCTTGGGAATGGTCTGTTCTTGCACAGCAGCAAACAAAACATAAATCAGACCTGTAAATGTTTAACCCCAGTGCACCTACTGTAAATTTTAAATGAACCCATCCGTGAAGGAGGCCTCATTATTGACATGTTAAATAAAATGATCGGTCCTTTTCTTTTAGCAAATCTGTAAGACTGTTACCACTCCAGCTCCGCCATCTCCCGCTCCGAGCCCTAGCATCACTAAACGGATAAAGAAGAGTAAACAGCCGCTGCAGGTCACCAAGGATCTGGGGAGATGGAAACCATCTGATGATCTCCTACTTATTAACACAGTGCTACAGGTGTGTCTTTGTCTCACAGTGGACCTTTACCCCCTTTCACAAAAAAATCACATCAATACACAGCTCTGCACGCTGATATGAAATCTTCTTACATTCATTACTTAAACATATTTTCTTTTATTTACAATGACTGTTTATCCACTTCCCGGTCCTCTTAGGCATTAGTGATGTAATGTGCCTGGGAAAGTTAAATGAGAGCATTGTTGGGAAATCTCATCTGTAATATAATGAGATCTCGGGGAAAGACATTTTGCTCCCCTGAGATGATGTGCATGGTCACATGTCCTAGTCACATCTGCCAGAGTTCCAGGAAGTAAAGGGAGATATACTAATAATTTTAAAAAATGGCTAGAAGATTGGGCAGGTAAAGAGAAATAAGGTATTCAAAGAATACAAAGCCTGCAATTATCTAGAAGTGTTTGTAGATTGTCATCACTAAAGCTGCGTTTCTTGTTATTTTAAAGATATTTGTAAAATTCTTCTTTAAAGGAGAACTATGGGGTCAGTGTTTTTCCCCATAGTTCTCCTTGGGGTAACGGGAGGACACAAACTAGCATCCTCCCGTTACCCTAAGCTCAGTATACCGCGAGCTATAGCTCGCGGTATACTGAGACGCCGCACCTGGAGCGGATCCCGACTTAAACGACGGGATCCACCCAGCTGCGTGAGTGACAGCTGGCTCTGCCTATCTAGAGGCAGAGCCAGCTGTACCCGCCCCCTCCCCCGTCCGTTCCGCCAGTCAGCGCTGGCAGATCGGAGCGGGGAGAGGGGAATCCAGCCCCTCCCCCTGTCACGGCAGAGAGCCGTGACAGGATCGAGAGGTGAGCGAACCCGGTATGTGTTCGCTCACCTCCCGATCTACTGAGCCGACCTGTTACAGTCTCATTGTCACAGGTCGGCTAGAACTATGAGGTGAGTGGAAATCACTCATGTCATAGTTCTCCTTTAAGATGGCAGCATATATTGCAATCTGAGCAATCTCCTTTATATTTACCAATATGTATGCAGGGTAAATATGTGTACATAAATGCAACAATATATACAGCAACTGTACGTATACAGTACATAGTTGTGGGTAAATCTAAATACAGTTATACGAGATTGTACCCTGTGTGGATATATTCACCTTTGAGTCCCAGGGTGCTATCATTCAGCTGTAATTTTAGAATGTTTGCCGGAAGTTGATTAATCGCAACATGTGCAATTAAAATGTATCTATATTTTTCATTTAGACTAATGATCTGCAGGCTGTGCACCTTGGAGTCAAGTTCAGCTGCCGTTTCACTCTGAGTGAAATACAGGAGCGGTGGTATGCTCTGCTATATGACCCCGTCATCTCCAAGTAAGCACTGGGTATCTTTGCATCTACCAATAAAAAAATAAATCAAGTGATGTAAGGTTTTCTTTTCCCCATAGGTTGATTCATTGTTCAGAGGTTTCACAGTTTGCATAACAAGCTGGAATGTTTGTATTTTCTAGGCTATCATGTCAGGCAATCCGACAGTTACACCCGGAAGCTATTGCTGCCATCCAAAGCAAGGTGCTGTTCAGTAAAGCTGAAGAGCAGTTGCTGAGTACAGTGAGCTCTGTAAGTACTATAGGAGTTTGCAAGGAAGTGATGTTAGAGTGAAAGCTATAGCGATACTAATTGAGTTTTCTTTGTAGAGCTCACAACCAACACTGGAGACCTTTCAGGATTTATTGACCAAACATCCAGATGTTTTCTACATGTCACGTACAGCCAAGTCTCTGCAGGTCCATTGGCAACTTATGAAGCAGTACTATCTTCTGGATGACCAGACAGGTATTAAACCTGTGTTCTTACATTCATGGTAACAAATAATTGTGTGCTGGCCCAGAATTAATCTGTTTTCCTTTTTAATGTCCTAGTTCAACCATTACCCAAAGGCGATCAAGTGCTAAACTTTTCCGATGCAGAAGATATGCTAGATGACACCAAACTTAGGTAGGAGAAATATTTCTATTGGTGAAATTTATCACAGCTCAGCTACACTCGAACCGATACAGACTATTCTAGTCTAGTTGTCTGCTATTTAAATCATGCTGTCAGCACAAGGCAAGTGTGTGTGTGCGTGTGCTTATACTTTGTGTATCATGTACATTTATTAATCTGTAAAAGTTTTGCTGTTTACTCAGTGTTTTGTCACCTTCTTGTAGAGACACTCGGGATGAAGTTCTAGAACATGGTAAGTCATATTGGCTCCTTTTAATTGGTTCCTCTCTTCTACCTACATCCTTATTTCAGCTGAATTTAAGTGATCTGTTGCTATTTTAGAGCTGACAGTAGCCGACCGTCGGCAGAAAAGGGAGATCCGTCAGCTGGAGCAGGAGCTGCATCGGTGGCAAGTTCTTGTGGACAGCATTACTGGTGAGTAATTGTAGGAGGAATTTATGAAAATCTGGAGCAGTTCTCCAGAGTAACCAATCAGCTTCTCTCTCTCTCTCTCATTTTCAAATCTTAACTGAGCAAACTAAAGAACGAAGTTGATTGGTTGTCATGGGCACCTGCACTAGATTCTGTCTGCTCGCTCCAAAAAAAATTCCCCCAAATTTCCTTTTTCATAACTTGATAGAAAAATGAGCACACTGTAAACATCTAGCTTTGAATGAGACTAGCTAGAACTGAAAACCTCACACAGCCATTGGAGGAGATTTTCAGGAATAGGCAGTCAAAGGGAAAAATCAGGGTTCTTTTTTTCTTTTTTTCGTTTCGCCTAGTAATTCTTGTGTTTCAGAAATTCATCTTTATAAGGTAAGAATTTGGACGGTTTCTCAGGAGGCAATTTAGGTCATGCCTACAGTGCATTACCTTGCATTGCCATGCTTTGTGGTATTGTACTTTACCCTTGGTATTCCTATAATCTTCACCATCTTCCGTCCAGTCGTTGTAAGTAAACGGCCGGACGGTGGCTTCCTAGATGCGGGTTTTAAAACGTCCTTGCCCGCCCCGCTTGTGTGCGCCGCTGTTTACATTCAAATGTTTGGGCGGCTGTAGAGGCCGCCTGATCGTTTGTATGTTGAGTGCAAGTGTGCGGGCCCAGGACCGGCATCGGCACAGCGCCTCTCTGAATGGAGATCAAAGGGAGAACAGCACACGATCTCCCGCTGACCTCCTCTCCGGTCTCTGAATGCTGAAGCAATGTGTATTACATCACTTCCGCCTTCAGCTGGAGAGAAGAGATCTGCTTCACCAGCTTCTCTCTGCCTTCAGCTGGGGAGAAGCTGGTGAAGCAGATCTCTGCTTCTTTGGGGGTCCGTAGGTCACATTAGGGGTCTAAAAGACCCCTTATGTCTCCATAAAGAGACTGCAGGTCTGTAACAAAACCCTCATAGGCTCCATAAACCACCTACAGCAGATGAGGGAAAAAGCCCAGTTGGCCTGAATTCGGAGCATAGTAAGAGACCAGGGTCACTGGAGAATCTTGGATCGTTCCCACCAAAACTGTATAGCGACCTTAAGGGTCCTTGATCTCACTTTTGCAATGAAATTGAGCAGAACTGCGGAACGCTATGAGAACACCACGTTGCTTTGCAGAGGCTGTGGCTACGTAGGTTTGGGAAAATTGGGAGCTGAAAAATTTAGGGGTGGCATCTCGAGAGAATCTGGTCTCCTGAAGATAGACAATATCTGCCCGAAGAAACCGAAAAAATCTAAACGCCTAGAGATGTAGGTGAGGGGGCGAGCCACCAGACAGGTTAACAAACACACGTACAAGACAAGGGAGAAGCACACCAAGGGATAGAGACAGGGACAAAGCAAGAACAAATATACAATCAAACAGGGATACGCATGAAACGCGACTGCTGAGTTGACCCCCCCCACCACTCCAAAGAGGATAACTTCCCACAGCCTCCTGTGGGGGCTAAGGGGGATGGGCTGCTAGGTAGGATTTTTAGGCAAGTATAAAGCACTTAGGAATGTATGAGCTTCACTCTAGTCATTGTCTAAACTGTGGTCCTTTTTTTTTTTTTTTTTTTATAGGAATGAGCTCTCCAGACTTTGATACTCAGACACTGGCAGTATTGCGAGGACGCATGGTGCGGTATTTGATGAGATCTCGGGAGGTAATGTAACTATAGTAAGCAAAACTTTAGACCTGTGCTTTCTTGTATATAATGCATGCTCTTACATAGCTGTGTAAATGAAATACTTGTTTTTCCTACTAGATAACTCTTGGCAGAGCCACAAAGGACAACCAGATTGATGTGGATTTGTCACTGGAGGGCCCAGCGTGGAAGATTTCTCGTAAGCAGGGTTGGTAATTTTCTTTTTTCTCAACCATTGCGCTTTGGATTAAATCCATTTGTATAACAAGACTGGCTTATGTTGTTACTATAGATTGCTATAGAAGATGGACACGTGTATCTGAAATTGTTGTTTTGTTGCTCTTGCTTTTAAGGGTTTAAGGATAGAAATATTCCTTAAGCTAAGAGTTTAAGATATGACGGCATGTCACTTACAAAATGGTACCTTTTTTATTTGAATTCTGATTTTAAAGTTGTAATCTTTTTTTCCGTATGGTTCAAAAAAGAGTGCTGGTGTGTTCTGCTTTTTTTTTTTAAATTGTTTTTTGTTTTGTTTTGCAATTAAGGTGTCATCAAACTAAAGAACAATGGAGACTTTTTCATAGCAAATGAGGGCAGGCGAGCTCTGTACATTGATGGTCGGCCTGTTCTACCAGGAAACAAATGGAAGCTCAGTCACAACTCTGTAGTGGAGGTAGGTGTCTTTAGGTGAAAGAGTTAAGATGGTATATTTACTGTGTATTCTACGATCAGCAGCAAAGTTATATTAAGAAATTCCTCACAGCTGCTGGCTGGTTTAAAAACGAATCGGTTAGAGGAATAATCTTATTTCTTCGTGCTGGTATTGCAATACATAAACCAAAGAGATAGAGAGTTACACAGCACAGACTTCAGGAAGCAGGCCCACTCCCCTCACATATGAGGAGATTGCTGGAATCTGGCAACCGTGGATAATATAGAACCTGCCCCATGTAATAAGGTGCAAGCTATTAATCTGCTAGCAGGTATAAACGTCAAAGTTGTCACATTTCAGATAGTGTTTCAGCTCGCCCCTTTTCCCCATTCCTATTAGCCAGTCTCTGTGGTGGGCTGCCTCACTGGCCAATAGAATGTGTGTGAGATGGCAGTGGGTGGACAAACTCGGTCACCACCAGAAAGTGCCAGAGCTTGCCTTATCTGAATGCATAGAAAGGCAATAGGCTGCTGCAGATATGTTAAGGCAACTCTCGGTGCTTACACCTTTTACACGCTAGCAGCTGTATTTTATTTATTTATTTATTACTGATTCTAAGTCACTTTTAAGTATATAAAATAATAATATAGCTCAGGGGGTAGCAGCCTCGGCACGGCAGCTGTGGTGAGATGACAAGTCCAATCATGCTTCTGGGAGACATGCCTGTGGCTGTTGATCTTGCAGTGTCTCATGGGACTTCTAGTTCTACAAGAGCTGAAGTTGGCTTCTCCTAAATTAAGTGAAGTGCAGGTGCCAAAGGAAGCCTGCATGTGCCTTTTTAATTTCATCAGTTAGCTTTTTGGGAAGTACACCTGGGATTGGGGACCCCCAGGCAGAAGATCTGCTCTTCAGCCATATTGCTAATTTAAATAGCTACAAATGACATGCTCACCTTTAAAGAAGAGTGGACTTTCTGATTTGGCACTTGTACTGTTCACATGGTGGTGGTTTTCACATTATTAGCTTACTAATTGATTGACTAGTCTGGAATTGTTTTTTCTGTATTTTTGTGAGCTGTGGAAATAACATCTAATTTGATTTGCACAACTCTAGGATAGCCCCATGACAAGATGCCTTCATATACTTATACTCTTTCTACTCCATGCCCTGTACACCCAAGATCATCGGTTCTACTTGTGCATAGCCAGCCAATGCCGATCACCATCCTGCTGCTTGCTGGAGGGAGATTTAGTGCTTGCTTTTTTTTAAATTTTATTTATTGGGATAGCTCACCAGTTTATGGTGTTTCCACAAAGCACTGTATGCTTCCCAAGAGAAAACGTATTACTCATTTTAGGATAGTATGTGGAGCTAGGCAAAGGGTTCCATTCTCCTCCTATGGCCTACCCTACGTCCAGAACCCTTTAGTTTATAGCACAGTTCTAGCCTAAATGCAGTAATTTCGTTCAACTTGAATACTTCTGATTCTGGCTGTTTCTCATCAGTGCAAAGTATGCCTTTGTTTTACATGAGTCCAAAGTGGGGCATGGAGGATACTAAACTACAATAGGCAGTAATTTTGCGTTGAGGAGGGCCAAAAGAAATTTAAAAGCCTTTCATCAAAGACACTGCAAATGACCGTCTTTTTACATTTGTTAAAGCGGAATGCAGCTCGGTGTACATTTGTAGCACATCTTAGTGCTGGGATGAATAAACTTCCATGTGAATACGCTGCAGTTATGTCACCCCGGCCAATCAAGATGGCTGAAGACCCCTAACCCTGAAAAAGTGTCGGCTCTGGCGAGGGAGCTTTTGCAGATATCGCTGGAGGGGAGGTAAGTATTGGAGGATTAGGTTCTGCTTTACAATTCTAAGTATGCATCTTTTTACAGATATCGGTTAAGTAATCGGAAACAGAGGGAGTGACAGTAAGAGTTAGATGTTGCCAGATAGAGGTGTTCATACAATAAACTAATAACATGTGAAGAAATGGCACTATGAGGGGAATTTATCAAAACTGAAGCAAACAAAATCTGGAGTAGTTGCCCATAGCAACCAATCAGCTTCTATCTTTCATTTTCAAAGCTTAACTGAACAAACTGAAGGGAGAAACTGATTGGTTGACATGGGCAATTGGTCCAGATTCTTTCCGCTCCAATTTTGATAAATCAACCCCCTGTATTTGTTCATTTCAAATGTTGTATCAGTTGTTGTACTCTGCCATCTAATTCCCAGCAGCCCAGTTGTTAATAGCATGCCCAGGGTTTCCATGGCTAAATAGGGTTGATATGACTGTTAATGTAATTTTATATCTGCAGTCTAAGTTTGCTACATTTGCTTTTGCTAAGTGAAGGAGGAAAATGAGTAACAACCAATTTCTTATCTACATCGGTTTCTTTCCCATAGATATCTGGCCTCCGCTTTGTGTTTCTTATCAATCAAGATCTCATAGCCCTCATCAAAGCAGAAGCAGCTAAAATGATCCAGCCTTGAAAGCAGTTTCCTGCAATGAAACGTGAAAAGATCACAGGAATCCGATGAATGGCACATCTATACAATCGTACATTCTGCTGTGACCCGTAAACTAGATCCTGGGCCGGCAGAGCTTCAACAGAGACCTCATTGTTACAAAGGGGTTCCATCTAGCAATAAGGGTCACCCTGTAGCTCGCTTGTAAAATATAAATATTGCAAATTGTGTTATACCGGAAGGTTTTTTGTTTATAATTCTTGTTCGTTTTGCTGTCATTATTGTTAGTTTTTCTTAACTGTTCCATGCTCGTATAAAATGGACCGTGATTTGTAAAGAATTAGTGCTGTCGTTTTTTCTTGTTTTAGCAGTAATAAAGAGGCAATATTAGTTGGGTACAATGCGGCAACAGACATTAAACAATATTTTATCAACGTTTGCAAATCTCTGAGGCTTTAGATCAAACTAAACAAACTTGTTTTACCTATTTCTGAGAGAAGTAGCATGGAAACCGCTGTAGCGTGTCCCGACGTACAGAGTGCTACGAATTAGACATGTAAGTCGGCAAAAACTTAGTTTTGTTTTTGTTTTTTGGATTTTTCGGGATTCGGGTCCGAAAGTCAATTTGTTTTGGCATTCGGATGAATCCAACTTTCATTAATTTAGAATGAGTTAAGTGATCATTACCAACTAAAATGTGTTGCAGAGAAGCGATATTAAATGTTTACTTTGTTTCTTTTTAATTTCTGACACCACAAAAACAGCGTGGGGGACCCCATGTAAAAACAAAAAACAGTGTGTGGTTCCACAGCAATTATTACCAGACCCTTTAAGTCTGGTAGGAATTTTAAGGGGATCCTCCTCCAATGCCAAAAAAGTGGGGTCCCCCCTAAAATGCCATTGGGAGGTGCTTTTCTGGGGGGGACCCCTTGGAAAAGCACCTTGTCTCCATGTCGATGGGGAAAAGGGCCCCTCCCCACAACCCTGACCCGGTGGTTGTGGGGGTCTGCAGGCAGGGGGGGCTCATCTGCATTTGTGTGCCCCCTTTCAGAATGAGGGCACCCAGATGCCACCCCCCCGTGAATGAGTAAGGGGTACTCATGCACTTAAGGGTTACATAAAATGTAAATACGCACCACCTTTTAGAAAAAAAATTATTTAATTGAACAAAACACAACTTTTTTTTTACAATTCCTTTATTTAAAATACATTTTTTTAAAAGTCCCATGAAGTAATTCCAGCGTTGGCCGACAAATGAAAAAAAAAACTCCCATATGCAATGTTTACATCGGGCAGTGGGCAGAAATAAACAAATCCTGCTATTGGCTACTTAAAATTGAAATAGCAGGCTGGCTAATGCTTCGCCCACTGTCTGATGTCAGTCACAGAGGAGGGGACCTGAGAGAGAACTTTCTCTCTCAGCTCTGCTCCTCTGCAGGAGTAATAGCCTTTCTGTTATGGCTATTTTAAATTCCTAAAAATATAAAGCCTGGCTATTGCTCCACCCACTGCCCTTTGGTAATCAGCAGAGGAGCAGACCTGGAAGAAAACTTTCTTGGGTCTGCTCCTCTGGGACTGAGAAGGCAGAGGGAGGCAGCCATTCTGCTATTGCTCCGCCCACTGCCTTCTGTCAGTCCCAGAGGAGCGTACCTGAAAGTTTCTTCCAGGTCTGCTATTGGCTATTGCAATTTAAAATAGCCAATAACAGAATGGCTATTACTCCTGCAGAGGAGCAGACCTGAAAGAGAAAGTTCTGTCTCAGGTCTGCTCCTCTGTGACTGGCATTAGGCAGTGGGCAGAGCATTGACCAGCCTGCTATTGGGTATTTTAAATAGCAAATAGCAGGCTTTGTTTATTTCTCCCTGATGTAAACATTGCTTCAGGGAGTTTTTTTTTATTTCTTTTTTCATTTCTCGGTCGACACTGAAATGACTTTGTGGGACATTTTTAAAATGTATTTTAAATAAAGGAATTGTCAAAAATTTGTGTTTTTTGTTCGATTAAAGGAAATTAAATTAAAGGGTCAGGGTTGTGGGGAAGAGGCCCTTGTCCCCCATCATAAAAAGAATGAAGAAAGCCTACAATGTGAGTTATGAAAAGGTGCACACATATACATCATCACTGCACCTCGGTAATGCCACAATCAATGCTAATGCAGTGAGGGCAAAGAATATGATGGACACTGGGCCCCAATCTGTATTATGGATGTTATCCTGCAGGCTGTAGCCAGTGGAGAACTGATATGCTTAGTTTTATGCCAGTTACTATTAAAAGCATTAAATCGGAGTCAAAGACAGCTAGCATTGTAGAAGCAGGTTATTTGCAGCCTTCTAAATGTTCTCAGTTCAGTTTTCCTCTAACCTGATCCTAGTCTGGAGTGATGTAACTGCCCTGAAATTAAATCTCTGGATGTCAGTGAAAAGATCTTCATCCATAAGAGACTTCAGAGACACATACTTGGCTCAGGGCTAGTTTACACCAGATGCAGTTGTGATGCAGTCTGCCAGTTTGATTGCTGCAGCCAAAATACACCACAATGTTTTCCAATGGGATTTCTGGTGCTCTATTCACACCAGTGCAGTCCATTCCGATGCAGTCAGAAAAAATACTGCTTGCCCTGTTTTAGCTGCATCGGAATGCACCAGAACGCATAAAAAATGCATGCAAACGCACCGGAAATGCCATTTTAAGCACACAAAAAACCCAACTAAAAACATCAATTTGCGGTAAAATGGCAAATCCCTTAGGGCTAGACACACGCAGTTCTGGTGTTAAATAGCCCTAAGTGATTTGAATGTTACAAAAGAAAGATAACATTGTTTTCCCTCAGTTCAGCTCACAGAGAGAGTGACAAAAACACTGCATTTCTAGTGTGATCAACAAGTATTTCTTTTGTTCATTGAGGGACACAGGATTCAGAGATGATTGCATTATACTGCCACCTACAAGGAAATTTGGATGCTTGCAAACAAAAAAGCAGTGACCAGCCTGCTATAACCCCTTCTACTCCTAGCATGCGTCAGTTTCCTGCTAGTGTCCTAGGAGGATGGATGTATTTTTCTCTAAACCTAACCAAGTTTTTACAAACCATTTTCTTTTACACATTTAAGATTAGGATTTTTTTTTTTAGCCAAGACTCTCCTTGTCCTAGTCTACTTCCATAGCTATCTGGTTTAGAGTCTCTTGCGCAATAGCTTTAGAGGCAGTATTCAGACCCTGCTGAAATGGACAATTCGGGGCCTAGCCTGGAATGTGGCACTTTCCAGACCTGAGTGTACTTTATTAGACGCAGAGCGTTTTCAGAATCCAGAGCCTCTGGTGTGACCCCATCTATGTAATGTCCCTTTGTTAGTGGAATAGGCTGAGCGTCAGGAGCAACCTCGTGAATAAGACCATTGGACACCATTATTACCTGTATTTTTCCACTGTTTACAGAGGAAAAGGTTAACACTGAGGGATTCTCACACTGAGGTGGAATATCATTCACTCCCCATGGTCTTCTTGCCATTCTGTGTGAGGTAACATGTTCCTTTCACTGCTGCTTCTTGCCAGTGACTTGAGGATCCTCCTTGGTAGATCTTTGATGACTGCCGACAGTGACCTGTTCACCTCTGGCTGTCTAAACCTTTTATGCTGTGAGTAGCCAGTTTGGTAATATTCAGGGTTTGGGCTTGTTGCTTGACACTTGTTGGCCCTGGCTTGTAGTGCAACATGTCCTTCAAGCTCACGTTCCACTAACGTTTGCTTCCTGCAGTTCACCTGCTTATGAGCCTTACATTTATAGCCCAGCCTATTGATATCTGCTTGAGCCCTCAAAGTTTTCCTTAGCTCTATCAGCCATGACCCCCTTTGTTTTATCCTGGGAGGATCTCACCGCAGTTATGCAAGGTTTTATGGGCCAAATAGTAACCTTAATTGCTGACTCTGACCACAATGAACATAAACTTACCTCTACGAATTGCCTTGCAGAATCAGTTTCTGATCTGCCTGTGGCCTCTTAGCCTTCTGTTGCAAAAGCTTCTCATGCTGAGTCTCAGAAATACTGAAAAGTTGAAACTGCCCCTGAGGAGTCACAGGCCTTTGCCATTACTCCCTAGCTTGATGAGAGCAGTTTGCAGAGCTGTCTGCAAACTGTTCAGCATGGATGGCAAATCTAATGGTTTTCTCTTGTTCTGTGGTCAAAAACACTGTTTATTTTTTTTTTAAATGTACTGCCTTTCCATTAAAAAAATACTTTGGGTTTGTTTTCATGCAATATGTGATTTTGTGATTTGGTAAAAAAATTAAATTAAATTTAAGGCTTGTATTACTAATATTTCCTCACAGAACACATTTACTAAAGTCAAGAGAAATAAACTCTTAGTTGTATTTTTTTTTTTTAGTAGTAGACATTTTCAGGTAGTACTGGGTCTCTTCACCTCACAATCTTATCTGGGTAGTTGCCCCCGCCCCCACATGCATGTGCTCCTACACTCTACATGCCTAGGCCGCCTTTCGTAGTCAGTGTGCTATCACTCACCATTAATATGCAGATTTTGCAGTTGGACACAAAGTCAAGTGGCGACCCATCCCAAGCACGTCTGCAATCCAGTTTGGGTCACAACCCAATACTGTAAGAATAATACTTAACTTTAAGTTATACTGGTCCGAACTGATATATACTGTATATAAGGACAGATATTCCCCACGTGTAGACAGTTTGCAACAAATTAGGTATGGAGCTTGGAGCGATGGCTACTTTACAACACACACATAGGGAACAGAAGTAGCCACCCTCCAGAAGGAAGGACAGTGTCAGCACCAATTCAGGCCCCATTCACACGAGGGCGGTTCAGTCGCGCAGATTTGTCTGCGCTAAACAGCTGACATGAACAATCCCATACATTTCTATGGGGATAGTTCATGCGTTCGCACGACTCCGTGTGATCCGAACCGCCTGCTGCCCAATAGGCTCCCTGAGCTATTTTTTCGCACTGATTAGCGCAGATTCCATATAGAGTTCAATGGAAACGCACTGATCAGCGCGTTTTGGGGTGTTTTGAATTGCGTTTCAGCGCTGAAACAATTAAAAACGCCCAAAAACACCCTTTTAAAATTTGCGCAGAAACGCATCCGCCCTGGTGTGAATGGGGCCTCAGAGATGATTTGAGGATCTACAGCTGAGTGATACACAAATAAGATACATTATTGTTAATAGTTATGATACTTGAATGTATTTTTAAGATTTAACTCCTGAGTTTAGTGTCAATTTACGTGTTGAGCACAAATCATCTTTGAGCAGGATTGTCTTTTATCTGTCTGTGGCCTGAAACCTGATTTAGGATATGATGTATGTGTATGCCAAACACTATTTTGCTACTGCAGAAGGGGCGTAGATAAGGGGGGGGGATAGGGGGGTCCAAACCCCCCCCAGAGGGTCCTGGCAGTGGTGTAGTGAGAGGGAGCAGGGGAATGAGGGGGGGAATGTGCTCCGGAGCTGCCGTCTGAAGAACATCCACAGATAGGCTTGGCCATCTAAAGGGATGCCGGGGATGTCCTGTTAGATAAAACATCGGTGACGGCTGGACGCTGGAGGAGAGCTGTTCACTGACAACGATATTTCATCAAACAGGACATCCCCTCATCCCTTCAGACGTGCATATGCCTGCCTGGCCCTGGATTATTTGTACAAGCCTCAGTGCGGGTCTGCAGGGGACAGGGTGTCGTGCCAAGAAGGTCAGAAGGCTGCATAGAGACAGAGCAGGCCATCAGGTAGCAGGGAAGGAGGGGGAGGGGGTTTGTATTATCTGTTTTTAGTCTTAAGTCCACTTTGTTGCAAAGTCCAGAGTCTAGTGCTTTCCTATGCTCCAAGTCTAGTGTGTTCCTAAGTGTCAAGCCCAGAAGTGGCTCCTAAATTAACAAAGCAGCACTGGAGAATGAGGGGATTTGAAGGTGGATCAGTAAGGGAAAACATAGGCAAGGGAACAGTTTGTCTAGAGCATTGAACTATGGATTGATTTGTGGGGGGCGCTAATGAAAGACTTTCCCACGGGCGCCTAATTTTTTACCCAAATAGAGCTTTCTTTTGGTGCTATTTGATCGCCACTGGTTTTTATTTATTTCATTTTTTTATATAAATGAATTAAAAAAAATTGTGGGAAATAAATATTTTCAATTTTTTGTTATACAAAATATCAAATAAAATCAAATGTCTTCATAAAATTAGGCCAACATTTATTCTGCTAAATGTTTTTGGTAAAAAAAATAAAAATCCCAATAAGTGTATACTAAGTGGTTTGTGTGAATTGGTACCAATTATAAGTCTTTTGAAAACATGGTTTTTATCCATATGGTGTCGAACAAAATCGGTATTGCTCAGGGTAAAGGATTGGTTTAGGAATGATATGGCTGGTATATTTTTTTCAAACCTTGGTGTGTCTGCTAGATAAAATCTTATAATTTGAGGAAGCTGAACCCCCCCCCATCAAAAAATTATCTACGGCCCTGTAGTACAGGCAGGGTTTATAACAGTGAAACCTCTTTTGTACTGTAATGCTACCTACGGATTTTTCTGGAGAGCAGTTGGATCACTGGCAGTCTATACTGAAACTACTATCATAGGCAGGGTAATCATCTTCTAAATGTAAACTGAATAATGGGCTTTTGGAATTAAATCCGTGAGCATTGCATTGCATTGCATTGTGATCCAGACCAGGAGTAAAGAGAATATATTTAAAAACTGTTTTTTTTTAATGTATTTAAATATCCGCCACAGTTGAGAAAAAAAAACATTTCACCCAAATTCCTGTTCTGCTCACAAAGATCTGAATATCTTCATGGAAGATTAACTTTTACTGTTCACTTTTTGCAAGTGGCTTTCTTATATTACAATCACTCTTTTTTCGCAGTAACAATTTATAAAATGTTCCTTCTAATACTTCATACAGTTCATTTTTACATTCCTGTTCCTTCTTCCCTGGGCCAGTATTCAGGATCTGTGTTGCCTTCTCTGTTTGGAGCCATAAAGTGCATTTCTACAGAGTGAGGGTCTGTAGCACTATGGTGCTCTTCTGCAACGAGGCTGGAAGGGCCTGGTTGGCTAAAGTCCCTCTGCTCAAACCCAGTGCAGTGCAACCATAGAGGTGTAGGGGGTGTCCAAAGCCAAGACAGATGTCCCTCAGAGCAGGGTGGGGAAGCACTATGAATGTAGCAGACCTGAGAAGCCTTTTCTACCCGTGGAGGATGAAAAAGTGAAGGACAGGTAGTTGTTGCATCACTGGGAGAGTGCAAGCTGCCGCCACAGTGTGCATGAAAGTCTCCTCCATGGTAGCAGGGTGAGGTATTGCATGGCATTAAAGATAGGTGAACTGCATGCCGAAGAGACTGAAGGCCTTCTCTCAGTTCCTGTACTTGGCACGAAAGGTCAGATACCTGCATTGAAAAGAAAATTGATATAGGAATATAGTTATTCTACTATGCATGGATAAGCCGAGGGCATTTAGTTGTATTTAGATGTAGATGTATCTCATATTTGGATTGCAAATGAAGAGGTTTACATATAGAATTATTACTGTTTTTCTAGAAGCATTCCTATACTGTTCTTTTCTTAAATGTCCTAAATGTGTGATTATCAGGACCTCTGCTGTACAGGAAAGAATCCTGCACTGTCCTATAAGGATTCAACTCAAGCTTTAACTGAGCCAGTGGAGAGATCCCAAATCACGATGTAGAGTGCAGCAACACTTGCCACTTACATTCCTCACATAACAGCCGCAGTCCTCAGTGACTGGGAAGCTGCGTGGCCGTGGCTTCCCATCCAATCAGAAAGCCAGGTGGGTGGACACAACCACCTGCCAGGCTCCCCGCTTCATTACTGCACCCCTGCTGCAGGTAAAGGGACAGTTGAAGAGATTGAAATCCGGGATGCCTCAGGTCTGTGTATGTATGCATGTTAGATAAATATATATATGTGTGTGTGTGTGTTTTGTGTGAACACCCTAATGCAATAGGCTATACACATCTATGGTTGTATGGTGTGATAAAAAGGAATTCAGTTCATTGCCTTTAGCTTGTGTTCTGCTGAGAAAAAAAGCAGTTTATTGTTACACTTGTCCATGAACTACTCACGGCTTGACTCAATCGGTCCATACTTTCGGTAGCTCTTGGTTCTGATGTTAGGAATATACTATCTAAAAAAAAATAAAAAATTATACAGTTTGGTCCTTAACTGTTATTTTTATTAAGAACAATTCATGCCACCACTGGCATGTATAAACTTTAAAGTGATATTAAAATTAAAAGGTTGTTAAGCTATTTCAAATGCTGATTAAATTGCTTAGAATGAATGCTGCTCCTTGATGTTTAAAAGTTTTAGCTTCCTGCAGAATCAGCTGGTCCCCTGAGCACTGGCCCTGATATGCTGTTTTTTGAATGCTCCTTTCCTTTTGCAGGAGCCACCCTTGTGTGTTCTAGTAAGCTGTGCGTGTCTCCACAAACACTCAAGGCAAGCCTCTCCCCTCCTCCCCCTCCATCTCCTTCTCCCCTCTCCAAGCTAGTAGATGGACAGATGCTGGAGACTGCACTCTTCTACATCATCACAGGAAGCTGCATTAAGTGGACATCTGAAGAAGGATCAACAGGTATTTGTGCGACTTTGCAGGGGGAAGAAGAGCAAATTTTAAATTCAGATGCACTTATAAGTAGATGCTGCCGCACATATTTTTTTCTTCTTTAATATTTTTAGTTTCAACAGTGTACAGAATATAGAACAAAAAACAAAACCTGTTCCTTAGCTATATCTAAAATACAATCATGCTGATATTATTGACAATGTAGTAGCATCACAAAGTGTTACATGAGGCAGTTTGTTGAAGTTGGCATATTGGTCAGAATAAAGGAACCAAACATATTATCAGCTAAGAGGAAATAGGGTAGAAGAAGAGGAGAGAAGGGTAGTTTGGGAAGTAGAGGTGTGTGTGGGGTGGTGGTGGGGGAGTGATGAAGAATGAGCACCTTGGGGCTTTTCCTTTCAGCTAAGGTCCTCTACAATAGAGTTAATGCATGGGTTCAAAGGCCTACTAGATGGCGGTCAAAGTTTGCCTGTAGGAAATGGGTGATTGATTGGTCCCATATTTTCTTAAATTTACAGGGCTATTCACAAAAGGATAAAGAGTTTGGAGAAGAGCTCCAGCTTTTGTACTGTGCGTTATAGTTTAAGACTGGTTTAATAAGAGTGACAAATTGTCACTGACAATGGTGCAAATGTTGTGTTGACAGGGCCACTTGTTGTCTCCCCCTGGCCACTAAACAGGGAACATAATGGTATGATCCCCACATATTAATTTAATGGAAGATGCATATTTTCAATAATTAAAAACAACTTTTGAAATGATATTATGTGGTAAAATTAAAATTGTAATGTTTGGGTTTAGATCTACTATGATAATATAAAATTATGGCAGGACAGACGGCACCATCAGTTGACCTCATATATTACTGTCTCAAAAGGTAGCTCCATTGTGCCCTTGAAGCCCTGAACTTTCTGTTCCTAGAAAAACTTCCCTGAATGTTGCAATAAACTCACGCTTCCACCCAACCCCATCCCACAATGCAATGCTCAGTGTGTGAAAGAACTACTGAGTTGTCCAGGCATTGTTACTTTGGGACAAAAAACAAAAAGGAGCGCCTCCGTAGTGTAAAACAAATTTTAATGATAGAAACGGACAACTGTATTGTACTTACAAAAAGTCGGTAGTAAAAAGGCATGTAGAAAACAATGGGATGTCAAATCATCTAGCAGCGGAAGTCTGAAAAGATGTGCAGCATCAGCGTCCACTGCCCCTGTGTGGTCTCGGTTTACATGTTTCTGGGGCACGCCCCCTTCCTCAGAGCCTGACTAACATCTCTCCTGCATCCTCTCCTTCTGTCCCTGGTATTCTTTTTATTTTTACTTTGGAGGTCCTGGGATCCGACAAAAAATTGTGATTATCAATAGCTGCCCCTCCTTCAACTGGGTTATAGGCTACTGTATCACTGTATTTGGGTTTGGTACCCACCCTTTCCAATTCTGCCATAACTTCTCGTTGTTCTATATCAATAGAATGAAGGTGACTCTGAGTTGATGAAGGGCCATCTTTCCTCACAATATTGTGGGAAGGGAGACAGGATATATCAGTGGATCTGAATTCCATAACTGACCCAGTTGTATATCCCTGGGGGGAGGGGCATCTTCCTTCGGAGGTGATGTTACCGTCATTTTGTACTACTCCCCCTTTTTGATAAAAAGATGACAGACCTTTTGCTTGCCCGACCCTCTAGAAGGAGAGGATGCAGAGGTCCAACAAAAAAAGGAAGAACAAGCTTCTAGCCACTTCAGATAACAATACCAACAATACAACAAAAATATTTAATCTTTCTAGCCATACACTTCAAGAAAGTGAGACTGCTATCCTCAAAAAAGGGTTAAATTTTGCTCCCTCATCTAAGCCACTTTGCGTTATTCCTAGATTTACATTAGAAAATTGACGCTACATCGTCATTTTCTCATCAAAGAAGCCAAAAACCCACATCCACAAGACATAGTCTGTCCTGTAGTGGCAACCAGAGTTGAAGATAAAAACCTGGAACTGTTGGGAGAAAGATTCAGGTGTTCTATCCAAACCGGAATTTCAATTTTTATCACTCGATCACCCCTGTGTGCCCTATTTTTACCACATACCAAAAATCCATTAAAATCCTTCACAGCCCCCTGGTAGACCTATTATAGCTGGCATGGATAGTCTTACATACAATCTAGCCAGCTACATGGATTTTTTTCTCCAACCATTAGTCTTTGAGATACCCTCCTTTGTTAAAGATTCAAGTCACATACTGGATATCTTAGGAAAATACACTTGGAAAGAGGGCTATCTTTGGGCCTCTTTAGATGTGGCCTCCTTATACACTGCAATTGAACACCAGTCAGGTCTTGAGGCAGTACAATACTTTTTGGTCAAATCGGGCACTTTAAACTTCTTTCAAGCAGGCTTTATACTTAAAGCCATCGAATACACTCTCACCCATAACTACTTTGTATTTTTAGATGAATACTATGTCCAATTAAAAGGCACGGCCATGGGAGCAAGGTTTGCTCCCAGTTACGCCAACCTCTTTATGGCTTGATGGGAACTACAATACATTTGGGCAAACAACCCCTTCGGTGAGCATTTAGTACTTTTCACACGCTACATAGACGATATTATTATCATTTGGGAAGGTACGGAAACCAGATTTTTGGGATTTTGGGGTATTGTAAAAACAATCCCTTCAAATTGGACTTTACACATGTGGTAAACAGGAATTCCCTAATCTTTCTAGATCTAGAATTGAGTGTGGATGAAAAGGGAAAGATCATCTCTAGGAAGCATTTCAAGCCTTCCGCAGGCAACTCTTATCCGCATGCAAGAAGTAGCCATCACCCTAGATGGTATTCTACACAGGGTGTGTAATTCATTATATTCTAGTGGATCATCAGGGGTTAATGATCCTAAGGTTTTTTTCATTTAGGCTTTTTTTAAACTATACATTTTATGCATTTTTTTATATGTATATTATTTTCATTACCATCTATATGATTATTTATTTCAATATTATCAGCAATACGAACATCACCAGTAATATGAATACTGTGCCATGTGGATTTGTTTTAATGTTGTAATCCCAATATGGACACGATAAATTAGTCTATACTAATAAGCCTGCATCACTATATGACATTTACCATTGCATCGTCACGTCGTATAAGTTTTGATGTATCAATTTCATGGACTTTACATTGCAATAATATTAACACTTGACTACTGTATCTATTTCCATGTTTTTTTTTTTTACATCTTCCATGTAACTAATTTCTTTTATGTTAAGGTCATTTGTATCAATAGAAATTATAACTGTGTTTTATTTGTCTACAAAAGCAATGCTAATGCGATCCATTGCCAGTCACACTGTTTAGAAGCCGTTTCTTATGTCAGTTTAAATGTCTATTCCCAATAGTGTGGAATACAAATTCAAACAGTCTGCACAACTATTATGCATATGCTCAGCGACCTGTGTGTTTTCACACATGTTTGCGATCCCTTGAGAGGCTTTATTAAAAACTGGAGGATTAATGTCTCTCCCTTTCCTAGATTTAATTTCATACAAAAATGAGGTCTTTTAGACACCAAACTAGGACCCTTCACATGTTGATCACTAATTAGATTATACCAGCTGATTTGCAGCTTATAATGAACCTCAGGGATAGAGACAACACCAATTATAACACAGAAAAACTGGTATAACTGCTTCTTGTGACTCATTTAGAGATTGCCCGTGATAGGTCAGCCTTAGACATATAAGAACAGGGTGTAAGTGGTATTAGTCAGGTTCTGAGGAAGGGGGTGTGCCCCAGAAACATGTAAACTGAGACCACACAGGGGCAGTGGACGCTGATGCTGCACATCTTTTCAGACTTCCGCTGCTAGATGATTTGACATCCCATTGTTTTCTACATGCCTTTTTACTACCGACTTTTTGTAAGTACAATACAGTTGTCCATTTTTATCATTAAAATTTGTTTTACACTATGGAGGTGCTCCTTTTAGTTTTTTGTCTCTCAGATTGAAGGTCCTTTGACCTGTGGGAGCTGCCTCTTCAGTGTGTTCGTTACCATTGCAACTGGCCGATAATGCACGTGGAGGCGCCGGTATTGTTTCCTGTCATTGTTACTTTGGGTACGGAGGAGCTAGCCTTTAGTCTGTATTTGCATACAAAATTCAAGGACTCATAAAGCATGCTGAATAAACACAACCTACATCTCCAGAGACCTCAGTACAGTAGCCTCTTGTTAGGTGTTAGAATTAGTGAGGTTATCTGCAGTGCAGCATAGATCAAATTTTAGAATTTAGTGATTTTATTGAATTTTTCCAAAAATGTTGTCTTACCTGGAGCATTTGAAAAGGAGCTACAGTTAGAAAATGTAAACTTTTGCTGAGCTTCACCAGTCGTTTCTTCTATGCCATCAACAACCCTGTAGCGAGAAACAGCAACTTGAAAATATTTAAGAACATGTAGGGGTAATTGTATTCAGTACACATTAGTATCGTTTAGAAAATGGAGTACCCCAGCACAAAACATAAGAAATATCTTGTTCTTGATCTGACAGTTGTATTAGAACACTTGAGGCCTTATTATCTTCATAAAAGGGAGATCTCAGAATAAGAATGTAATTACTAGCACATTAAAAAGTATTAGCTTAAAGAGTAAGGAGGTTTGCATGAAAGACCGGGTTTGAGTGACTAAGTGTGTGGTTAGATGAAAAGCAGGGGGCAAAGTTTATTATAATTCAGCTATGGGCCTACTGGTTTGCCAAAAACTTTGGTATCAATCCCAATACTGAAGTGATAAGTGGATGTTTCGGTTGGAGGTTACAGCAGGGAAAACAAAGCTCTCTTTTGTTGCCAATATTTTCCGAGCATTAGATTATTTTTAATGCTTTTGACACTATTTTTAATGTAAAAGGCCATACATGAACACAGGGGTCTATTCACTAAGCTGCTGTAGGCAGCCGAGTGAATGACCGACCTGAAGCGAAGTGAGCCGAACGCTGTTCGGCTATTCACTTCAGGCTGGTACGGCTGATTTCATCCGTATATCGGCTGAAATCAGCCGTACATCGGGTGGCTTTGCGTGGCTTCGGGTTGGCCGAACATGCTCAGCATGTTCGGCCAACCCGAAGTGCAGAAGGAGTTCGACTCAGCCGATCCAACATCTGGATCGGCTAAGCCGAACCTCCGGCAGGCTACTCGCTGTTGTTCGGTCTATTCTTATAGATGCCGAACAGCAGTGAGTGAATAGCCCCTGAGCGGCATTCGACTCGGCTGTTCTGCTCACTCCCTTTGTGGGACCGAGCAGAACAGAAAAATAATTAAAGTACAAAAAAATAAATAGAAAACGATTGTGCGGAGCTGGCAGTGACAACTAGCTCCGCCCAACTGTTTTCTATTGGCCAGCAGTTCTGCTGCCGTCAAAAAAAGAAAAAAAAAGATTTGGCCATACGAATGCATTGCTAGATTCCTATTGGCTATTTCAATTTGCAATAGCCAATAGCAAACTAGCTATTGTACCCGCCCTCTGCTGTGGCTGGCTCCGCCCAGCTGTCAGAAGCAGACTGTCGGCTGGCCAATGGCTGGCCGCTCGGCCAGCTTCGGCTTTCACCTCGGCTCCGTCGAGCCTAAGCATATGCCTTCGGCTCGGCTGAGCACCCGGCCGACTTCGGGAGCTGTACGGGCTATAGTGAATAGCCCGTACAACAGCCCTTCGGTTCTACTGAACCGAAGGGGTCCTGGGGCCAAAGCTAGCCGAAGGATCGGCCGAAGCTACGGCTTCGTGAATAGACCCCATAGTCTGTAAGTGTGTTGCAAAAGTAGGCTTTATTTTTTGTACTGTACCTTGGGCTGAGATCTGGTGGCCTTGATTGTGACATCAGTGGTATCTGAAGTTCAGTAGTGCTCACCCTGTGAGGAGTACGTCTTGGTGTCACTTCCTGAGATCTGTGTTGTGGACTGCAGCTAGAATATCGAGATGGAGAGAGGCGGAGAAGGGGGGAGTTCTTTGGGGTGAGTGCTGAAGCATTCACATTTAAGGAAGCTTGGTCTGATAGATCTGTCCTCGAAGAGTGTTCGGTATGGATTTGAGTCTAGTAGGAAGGTAAAAACATAGCATTATTTCAAGGATTATCCAGCATTCCAGCATTTTTCCCAGGAGTAAAACCAACTAGCAAGACCAAATATAATAGGCCTCAGAACAAAATCAACCTCTATCCTAAAGCCTCTACCATTATATTATGTTTTTAAAATCATTAATTCGAAACTCTAGGCAAAATCCCAAATAATATAAGCAATAAAGCGAACCCAGGAAGTGGTAATGCTAAACAAGGAAAAAGAAGAGTGATCACCCTGACTAAAAAATTGTTTCTGGTAAAGGAATGGCTGGCCATAATTACAGATCCTTTGCCGGGTAAAACAGTAAACCTATATGTAATTCTACCATGCATTTGGGTGTTTGCCTGGAGTTCCAATTTAACTAACCCTGCACTGCTGATTACTGCATATCTGTGCTGTGGTCATCTCAGGGTTTTCCGGCATTTCAGCCCCATGTGTGTTCATGTTTACTCCATATGCACCACAGCTCTCATTTAAGGGATTTCATCCGAGACTAGATGAGGTATTTCAGACACTTCATTCAAATGTGTAAAAGTAGAATGATCCTGAGATAGCAGGGCACATATAATCAGTAATCAGAACTGTGTTTTTAGTTTGAACAAATCTACAGTAACAAAAGTATATCAGATATATCTCGCTGAGCTGGAGGTCCTTGGAGCCTCTGTAAATGCTTGGGCTTGCCTATTTTTATACTTGTCCATGACCAGTTTCCACATCTGTTAAGTTGAAACATTCCTGGTAGTGGCTCAGTTATGCAAGTTGAAGCATTTAATAGAGGTGGCTCTAGGATAATGGATGTATTGCCACTACTTAATGTTTTAAGATGATTTGCACGCTAACAGATGGCAAATGCAACGTAAGACATGTTCTCACTCTTTCATGTTGATAACTTCAATGTACTTTCGAGAGACATCATTGAAGTAACTGAACACTTGTGTTACATTTGCTCATTTCAAGCTCATACATTGTTGTGGGTGTTTTGTGTGGGGAAATGTTTGTCATAGTCAACATTGTCTCAGTTCTAATAAGCGGTGGGGGGCATGCAATCCATATATTTTTCATATGATTAGTAAATAAACTTTTACCAGTAAATATTTACACTTATTCCTCGATGACTTTCTGGGAACTTTTTTCTTTTCTTTTTGTTATTTCAAGACACCGCATGGCTTCATATGGTGACTGCACCTTATCTAATGTGCCGACATGCAAAGTAAGACTTTTGCCCTTTAATAATTAGGTAACAAAGTACATTAATCCATAAGAGCCAAACAGAATATGACCATTATGATTCATCTGTTTGCTCAATATATTTGTCCTATTGTGGTGATCTATTGTGAGCTCTCACTTACCTCTGGCTCACATCTGCTGCTTCCCAAGTTGTAGCTTAGCTGGTGTACGATCTGACCTGTAAATTTGTGTGCATATTCTGGGTAGAGTGACAGAGTGTCACGTAGTCCCTTCAGATTGATCCCTTGAAGGTCACAGTACGTCAGAGCTTTGACATCCGCATTTGCTTTAATCACTGTGTCTTCACAAGAGACTTCACAACCAATCAGGTCACCTTTACCTGCAGAGAGCAAAATACTGAAATTATTTAATTATACAAATGATCTGCCCATTGATGTACACCTTTCAGTAGGACTATACAATGAATGGTTGATCAATGGATATATCACTATCAATCTTGGGGGAAAAAAAAAATGACACTGACGGGAATGTCTACTACTTGGCTTCCTTTTTCTAACATGGCCACTAGCAGACAATAGGCTACACAACAAAATGACATAAATGTCAAATATAACAGGTTTCCTTTTACTTATTAGTAACTCTTTTGTATAGTGGAAAGCTTTCTCTCTTGAAATAAAATCATCCAGTGTCTCTTTTTTTTAGGAATGCTCCGATATCGGTATTGGTGCCGATACTGGGCATTTTCATGAGTACTCATACACTGAAAATGCCCCAATAGTAAACGTCGATACCAGTGCTTTAAATGTTTAAACTGAAGCTAGCTGGTACAGTAAGCACATCTCCTCCCCCTTCCTGAAACCACGCCACCCTCACCCACTGGTGAGACCAGCCAGACCCCTGGTGAGACCCTGCAAAACCCTCCTAAGACCCTGCACATCCTCCTAAAACCCAGCACAGCCCTCCTGAGACCCCACACAGCCCTCCTGAGATCCTCTGCTGGAGACATTAGGCTGGCATGCCAGAGCAGCACAGAGTATGTAGCTTCATATTATTCATTGATGTATAATGTATTGTTGGGATTTGTAGTCCTCTATAGCTGGTGGCATTCTGCATTACTATATAAGGTTTTGCTGTAATTTGTGCTCCTCTATAGCTGCTGGTATTATGCATTGCTGGATAATGTATTGCTGAGATTTGTAGTCCCTCTACAGCTTGGAGTCAGTGCCAGAACTACCAGGGGCACAGCATTTGCAGCTGAAACCGGGCACTGGTACTTCACCACTGTCCTAAAATCATTTGTCTGTATTTTAGAAAAACTGTCACATGGCACTAAAAAAAAAAGTATTGATAATTGGTATTGGCGAGTACTTGAGGAAACGTATGGGTACTCGTATCCGGTCTGGAAAAAATGGTATCTGTGCGTCCCTACTTTATTTAACTGCAGCTATAACTACCGTTTCAAATATTCTAAGTTATCCCCCTGTGCCCTTACCTTTTTAATATATTAGATAGCATTATTATCTAAATGAAATGCTTACAATGTTGAACTAATGATGAATAAAGTAAACCTTATTTGTATAAAGATCAGTATGACAGAGCATCTTCTTTGTGGAACACACAACCGGTTTCCACATCAACACACACCTAATATTGCTAGGACAACACCATCCTTGAGGACTTCCATGGATCCTGAGCACACACAATATAGAGATTCCAAAGCATCCCCCTGTCGGATCAAATACTCTCCAGGCGTGCAGAAGAAGGGTTTAATATTCAGTGACAGGGAACGCAGGCATCCGCGGCTGGCAAGGGCAAACAGTGGCATTTGCAGCAGATCCTTGTTGAGGTGCATAGCAATGTCAGCTCGCAGTTCATCTGGAAGACTGTGCAGGAGCTGCAAAGTGTGAAAAAACACAATACAGGGCTGAAGAAAATGATAAACTCTGCACTGTATAAATATACTAGAGGAGGAAGAAGTACAGATGTAGCATGTACCAACCAATAAGCATGTACTTGTCATTTTCAATCCATATCGAAAATCATAAGCAAGCCTTTGACAGCACCTGTGATCAGCATGTCCTTTTGCTTTTTGAGTTGTGATCCTAGGTTTCTATTATTAATAGAACAATCTGCAGTACCATAGACCAGTTTAATGGGCACAAATATGACATTTGTTTACTATTTAAAGAAATTTACTTAAAAAATACTGAATAAAATATTATATCAAATACATAAGGTTGGGTGATAGAAGGCAACTGCATACCCAATGTGGAAAATATAGCTGTTTATTTACAAGTTAACCATAAAATGTGATATGAGCTAACATGTTTTGGAATTAAGGCTCTTTGTTACATCACATCTTATCATGTACACATAAAGAAAGCTAAAGGCAGAGAAAACCTAGTGCCTAAAGTCCCAATAAAGATGAGTGACCAGATCTACTTGTGAACCACTTCAGATTGGACCATTCAAGCATGATAGTGGGCTGTTTTGAAACATTGCTCCTGAAAGATGATGTCACTAGTGGACCTCCCATTTGTCTCTAGCTTCATCTTTCTAGGATTTCCCACCATCTGTAGCCACCAGTCAGCAGAAATGAAGCAAATAAGCACTACACCATATAAAAGTGGCAGAGAACAGGACGTTTTGCTATATTATGTGTTTAGAGGTAGAATAGAGAGGAAGGGGTATAGAGGAGCTGCTGTTGATTTTGCCTGTGACATATTAGCTATTCAGCAGGAGAGGATGGACTGTATGGCTGCTAAGCTGCTGGATTGCTCTATTTTCAGACTCATCTCATATCATACTGTACAAAGCCAAGCAAAAATGACAGTGGAGTACTGCATCTGAGACTCACTCACTAATCATTTCAATAGAAATCTATATGCCAAGACCAATGAAAGATAACATATTCACCTATTTGGTAATTTGTCTTTAACATACCTGTTAAACTTAAAGGAGAACTATGAGGTGAGTGCTTTTCACTCACCTCATAGTTCTAGCCGACCTGTGACAATGAGACTGTCACAGGTCAGCTCAGTAGATCAGGAGGTGAGCGAACACATACCGGCGTTCGCTCACCGCTCGATCCTGTCACAGCTCTCTGCCGTGACAGGGGAGGGGGTGGATTCCCCCCTCCTCTCTCCGATCCTCCAGCGCTGACTGGCGGACCGGGAGGGGGCGGGTACAACTGGCTCTGCCTCTAGATAGGCAGAGCCAGCTGTCACTCACGCAGCTGGGTGGATCCAGACAATATATGTCGGGATCCGCTTCAGCTGCGGCGTCTCAGTATACTGAGCTTAGGGTGACGGGAGGACGCTAGTTTGTGTCCTCCCGTGACCCTAAGGAGAACTATGGGGAAAAGCCTTAACCCCATAGTTCTCCTTTAATATTGGCTTAGGGTCAACATTAGTTAACAAAATTATTTCATGAAAGTGCTATCGGTCTCTAAAGAAAGCACAGCACCTTATAGACACTCTGTATCTTATATAAATCTGGAGGGAGCTGACTGAATGGAGGGAGAGAAGTGACGTAGTCACTAGAACTCATTCACTTGTTTACATTTTGAAAGCACAAAAACGTTTATTCAAATATATTCCTCAATAGCCACAAAGGATATAAATCTACTTTGTGTGCAACAAATGCCTTTGCAGAAAGCAGAACTGTGGTAGGGACAACTACAGTCAGCCTACAGAAAATTACAGCAAGGGGCGGATACAAGACCAGTCACCCTGCACAAGGAGAGAGAGCAGCAGTGACCAGTCTTTATTACAGGACGCTCCTGCACAGGGGCAGATTTCACACTGGATTACTGCACAAATCTAGAAGAAATACACAAAGCACACTAACAGGGTAATTCAAAAAGCTGCCGAAGGCAGCCGAGTGAATAACCCACATGAAGTGAAGTGAGCCGAACGCTGTTCTGCTATTCAGTTCAGGCTTGTAAGGCTGAAATCAGCCGTATATCGGCTGGCTTCGGCTGCACTTTGGTCAGCCGAACATGCTCTGCACTTCGGCTGAGCTGAAGTGCAGAAGGACTTCGACTCAGCTGATCCAACATCTGGATCGGCTGAGCCGAAACTCCGGCAGCTCACTTGCTGCTGTTCGCCCCATTCACATAGGGGCCGAACGGCAGTGAGTGAATAGCCGAATGCCGCAGAGCAGCATTCATCTTGGCTATTCTGCTCGGTACCTCCGTGGTACACAAAAGTTGAAAAAGAAAAAAGAAAACAAATGTTTAAAAATGTAAATAAATAATACATTAAATAAAATAAAGATTTTTTTCAATAAAAAAGAAAACAATTGGGCGGAGCCAGCAGTGACAGCTAGTGAATAGCCCATACAGCAGCCTTTGGGTTCGACTGAACCGAAGGGCTCCGGCGGCCGGAGCTACGGCTGATCCTTTGGCTAGCTTTGTGAATAACTCCCTAAGATTCAAGTAAAAATACATATACCTCTTGTATTTCTACAACATTTGCTTACACTCAAGTTCAGATTTATGTTTAAGCTATTAAGCTTAATGATTGGCTGATATGGCAACTGTAGAAAATCCAGATCTTAGTGTCATTGTTTAACTAACCAAAAAGTAAAATAACACTTCCAAACAGAAAATGCGCAAGAAGGAAAAACAATGCACCAAAATATAGAAATTAATTTCAAAGTGAAACAAGACTGATTCTAATCCATACAAAGCTTGTCTTACCTCATTAGTGTCAATTCCATTGTTCATTGCCCACGTGGTCTGAACATATTCTAACATGCGCTGTTTTAGAGGCTTGGGAATGCCATGGATACGGATATAATCTCGAAGATCCCGAGTACGGCTGTGATACAAGAACCGCCTTGCATACAAGCGCTGGATGATAGCGGTCACATTTCCAAACACCAGAGCGTGCATCAGGGCTAAAGAAGACATTCGAGAAATACAAAGACAACACGGTTATTCACTAAACAATGGCCATAAGCTAAAACACCACGTAATCATCAGCAATTACTTATTATGCAATTAGTACAGGATAAAGAATGAAAAATGGATGTCTGTAACTCCACTGTTGCTTTTTTAAAAAACATACAACTATAGAGCTATAATTATAAGTTACATTAAAGGAGTCTATTTATAAACAATTTTCAGAGCCATTCACCCTGCAAATTTCTGTGAACGTTTGTTCTGTGCGAATAGAGGCAAAATCTATTCTACATTCTTCGTATATTTTCTTTTCGGGTAACCTTTGGAAAATACTGCATTATGACCACTAGATGGAGCTGAGGAGCATAGGAAATAAACATTTATTTCCTATGCTCCTCAGCACCATCTAGTCACATGTGCCAAAATATTTCATCACAGCTTGTAGGATGTATAAATCAAAACAATAATGATTCAAAGGCATATATATAGAATGAGACAATCATAGAATGAAGTCCTGTATATATGCCACCCACACTATGTGCAATATGCAGCAAAGATTGGAACCAGAAGGTAGGTAAGTATATGGCCACAGATTTCAATAAAGACACATGAATGTTGATAATGACATATAAGTTGCTAGAGGGCCAGGCCATTATAAATAGGGAAGCAGGTTGTTTACCACAACAGTAGAAGTGATTGTACACGTGAGCCTTTGAACGTGGGATGATTGTTGGCACTCAGAGCCATGGAGCGAGTATCAGCAAAACAGCAGAATTCGTTAAATGTTCAAGAGCAGCTGTTGTTAAAGACTGGATGGTCAGCCAAAAATCTGGGTCTGAACGTGCGAATTGTGGCCGTCAGCGACTAGTCAATGTTAGGGCAGAACGGAGAGTGGCAAGACTAGTACAAGACAACAGAAGGGCAACAGTGCAGTGTCAGATTCCTTGCATCACCTTTCAACATCTCGTGGCCCAACGAAGTACTGATGGGGTGGTCATAATAATCTGGCCACTCAGTGTATATTGTGGTATTGTGTGGCAATCCCACGGTAGAACTGGGTGTTATAGTCACCCTGGACTCTCAGCCAGAGGGGCTAACCGGTTCCAGGAAGCAAATTATTTCTCTGGGAAATAACTGGCTTTGTTGTTCTCCCCAGGTTTTTTGGATTTGGCATGGGATCCCGAAACTGGGAGATGTCAAAGAGAATTGGGAGAGATGAAATCTCCCAGTTCCAGGATCCCATGCCAAATCCAGAAAACCTGGGGAGAACTACAAAACCAGTTCTTTCCCACCCACCCACTACAGTCTGCCTACAGAAAATGACAAGAAGGGGCGGATACAAGACCAGTCACCCTGCACAAGGAGAGACCAGCAGTGACCAGTCTTTATTACAGGACGCTCCTGCACAGGGGCAGATTTCACACTGGATTACTGCATAAATCTGAAAGAAATACACGAAGCACACTGACAGGGTTATTCACAAAGCTGCCGAAAGCAGCCGAGTGAATAACCCACCCGAAGTGAAGTGAGCCGAACGCTGTTCGGCTATTCAGTTCAGGCTTGTACGGCTGATTTCATCCGTGCATCGGCTAAAATTAGCCATACATCGGCTGGCTTCGGCTGCACTTTGGTCAGCCGAACATGCTCTGACCTTAACACTTCCTTAATATAGTCCCATATTAAAGTATTGACACAAATGGTACCACGCAGATAAAATAAGGTCCCACACTGGTTAAAGAGCATGCATGTCTTTGACACATTTCACCTCTAAATGTGCCTTCATCAGAAGGGCATGTTAAAGCAATTAAAGCTGACAGAGGTTCTAACCTTCTACTAAAAAAATATTTCTGTCTGTGTTGTTGTTGATTTTTCCTTCAAATCTGGTAAAACTGTTGTCACATGGACAATAAGTGGGGGGAAATATCTCTCACAGAGCCCCAAATAGTAAAAACCCAACAGGAGCTCTAATCTCTTTCCATTATAACCAAAGTCAATAAATAGTTTTAGCTGGGCATACACTTTACATTTAAATGGATTGCTTAGTATGGGTTTCTCTACTATACAGTTGTTTGTAAATCTTTCTTAATTTCTATAAATCAGTACTCAGGTTCACGCAATGTTAATTACTCAGTTATAGAACAGAAGCTGCTAGAGATATGTATGAAGACGTTTTTTTTTGTAGGTTAAAGCTTCTGCTGCATCTATTAATACCCTGACAAGAAGACCCTTCACCAGCCAGCATATGCACACACATACGCCCACACATGGATGCATACACTGTCTCCATAGAAATATCCCACACATGAAGAGATCTGGAATCTGCCTTATTCTGCTCACTTATTAATGATTTAACAAAGTGGAAATTATGCAAGTGGTAATACTGAAGTGAAACGATATATAAAGATATCTAAATAAATGAGATGCCTTTCATCTGACAGTTCTGCTATAACTGATGTAATGTATGTGTATATAGAACAACATAGATAACATTCTTACACAAAATGTAGACAACACAAATTAGGTAAGAAATTAATATTTTTATGAGTTCTCCTTTGTGTCCCACTGTGCACAGGTATCAGGCAGAGGTGGTGATGATAAGGTGGCCTTCCTGCCCCCCGGCCCCAGTCGCTACCTTACCCAAAGTCACTCTGCTTCCCAGTGTGTGTGACAGAAGCAGAGAGAGTAAGAACTGAACTAGATGCACATTCAGGAGAGTAACTACTATTGATTAGAGTGTGGGCCACCGTTGACAGGCCCAGGAGGCTGCAAAGAGCCTAGGTTGTCATCTTATAGAGAACTGGGTCCTCATGCTTGGACTGGCAGTTTTCAGTTTTGGCATTTGCCAAAAGGGTTAGTTTGACTGGTGTGAGTTGAATGGCCTGCTCAGTCTCTCTGTATATAATTTGTTCTCTCATCTTCAATATAGATGCCAAAGCATAAGCATGATTGCTCCACAGAATGTAAGAAGTTTGGTCAAATACAGAAAAAGACAAATGACAGGGCTACTTGTAGCTTCAGTTCACATTATTTAGTATAACATTTCTATGACAGGTTAGGTTTCTCATGACACTTGCTATAAGAACAGGTAATCAGAAACCTCTCTATGAACAGAAATGTTTGTGTAGGCCAGGAATACAAATATCAATGAAAATTCTATAAGATTAACACATCTTTGCAGTTCTTACTTTAATGTTACACGTCTAATAAATAGGTAAGTAGCAGCTTATCAGCTATCTTTACAACTTCACATGTGATGTTTCTCACGTTCATTGCAAGTCATCTTACAGTGTATGTTGACTAAAAAAGTACAGTATCTGAGTTCTTATTCAGACTTCCATCCATTCTTACTCTTCTGCAATTTGTAATGGAGTCAGGGCCGGATTTAATCTCTCTGCTGCTCCAATGGCAGGTTCCCTAATGTGCCCCCCTGTATGCAGGCTGCATACAAGCGATCTCGGCAACATCGCTGAAAAACACTTGTACAAAGTAAGCGGCAGCTTCCCCACTGTACATTTAGCCCTGCTTTCCCAAAGCAGGGCTTAATGTAGAAAACAACTACCCGCCCGGCGCCCAGAACTGCATGTCCTGGGTGTTGGGGGATAGGAATTCCACACCCCTGCTGCCCCTCTACTTCCTGCTGTCCGAGGCCGGGCTTTCGGGTTGCCTTGTGTGAAATCCGACCATGAATGGAGTATACGTGTAGTTTTGTGTTGCATGATTACACATACCTCCAACCAACATGATACAGATGGAGAAGATCTTCTCAGTGTCTGTGTTAGCAGAAACATTCCCAAACCCAACGCTGGTTAGACTGCTGAGTGCAAAGTACAAGGATGTGATGTATGAGCTCTTGGGAGAAGGTCCTCCTAGTAATACGAGAGCAGTCTCATTTAAAGTGTCTTCACTGTCATTTTCTGGAAGTGACAAGTGCCTGCTTATATTTTTCCTTCCCATGTAGTAAGGGGTTTCCAAACGCCGGGCCAGCTCTTGAAGCCAACCTGCAAAAATAGAAGGCAATGCTGCTATTACAGGTCACAGCACAATAACATGGTTGTGACATTCCTCAATTTAGATCTGGTGTGATGCAAATGATCTCATCCAAAGACCTGAACATTCAGTTTGTATTTCTTCAGCTCAAGAAAAGTAGCATCTCCTAAAGAAATCCTATGCGGTTGATTCCCTATCTATAGTGTGCAGCTGTCAACACTTAGAATGTATAGTCCCCAAACAAAACCAAAGTAAAAAAGCTTATAGTGTAGCACTATAGTGTTGCGCTGTTGTGATACCTGGTGTGTGAAAAGTAAAGGTCTGTCAAATTCCAATGTTTTATTTATGGAAAGGCTTTTTATGGAAAATAAAATAAAAAATGTGTGTGGGTGTGGTTGTTGTGCCCATTAAAAATTTAAAACAGAAGAAAAAAAAGGCTCACATGAGCTCCTGATCCATACTTGTTCCAGGTCAATGGCTCAGACAACTAAGGAAACTGCAATCCTTTTAAACTGTAATCTTTTAAACTACAACTGCAATCCTTTTAAAGGTTTTAGAGAATAGGTCATGGTCATATTTTTCAATGTATGAGTGGTGCGTATGAACTGTGTGTCAGCAGTCATACGGGGATAAAACAGAGAAAGTGTCATGGGGTTAGAAATACAAACCCTTTCAAAACATAAGATGGATTATAAAACTGGTATTTCGTATTAGTAAAGATATCCAGTGTTTTAACCGAAAGTACCGAAACCACTGCGAGTTTGAACGTCTTGGGCCATTCACACTTGTCCATTCTCCTGCACTAAATTACATACATTTTACTGCATGAAAATACATTTCAAGTAAAAATCCCAACAAGCTACACATACATAAGTATAAAAGGACCCTAACGGTCATCCCATGAATTAGAATCTAATATACAGTATTTAAAGTTATGGGGAGAGGTTTGGATGTAGGGGGAGATGTGGAGAGTTATTATTATTATACAGGATTTATATAGCGCCCACAGTTTGCGCAGCAATTTACAGTATAAGGAAGACATTACAGTTACAATACAAATCAAGACAAGATGGTAAGGAGGGCCCTGCCCGTGAGAGCTTACAATCTAAGACATTCTTCTGGGAATTGCTAATTATCCCAGATCTTAAAGCAATGTTGCATTCAAGGGCTCAAATGTTTTGGAGATAGGACAGGAGGTAGATAGGGGACAGAGAAAATGGGCAATGAACAGCAATTTGGGATTTCTAGAAACACACAGTGGGAGTCCCAATTATATACACTGTATATAAAAAAGTCAGCTGCGTCTAAAATATGTCTAAATTTTTATGTAAAATTATTATGCAGTATATAATATACAATGCATACTCACCAATCTCTGGCACTTCTGATTGGTTGCTTTCAATTTCTTGCTGACCAATGAAATACCAGATGCAGGCCACCCAGTGTGCTAGAAGAGCAAAGACAACCATGAGGAGGCTGAGTACAACTGCGCTGTACTGGGAATATCGATCCAATCGTGGGAGTAGGCGTAGGAGCCGAAGCAGGCGAACAGTCTTCAAGAGGTGAGCCCCAAAATACTTTCATTAGGCGGAGGAAGGAAAGAGAAATAAATACAACTGACATTATAACGAAAATGACAATGTGCTGCAAGCAAATTGAGGCAGACAAGGTAAGTATAAAAGATCTGAAAACATCACAAGATTCTATAACATTCACAGAGTCAGTAGTGTATGCTGAGCGAATGAATGATCTGGCATATTCATTAAGACATATCTAAACCCAAAAACAAAGCAATATTATATTGCAGCTTTCCAATCTTAGATAACATGCATGCATTCGTTTTGGTCTTTTTCTCTTTATTTTCAGCTCATAATCCTGTGAATGACACAGTTCCTGTCCCTGGCTACTCCTCCACTGTATCTATGAAGCTAGTCTGGACTTCAAACAGGACTGCCTTTGTTTACCTCCATTACCCAGTGGCTGATAGGATTAGCAGCTTACACAATAAAGAGAATATCATCGTGCTTTCTTTTCAGCTCACAGGAAGTGGCAAATATACTGTGTTACTTTACATCTAAGGATGTAAAGTTCGGTAGAACATCACAGCTACCACAAAGCCATAAATATTCATTTTTTTTAAGGTTTAGCAGAACTTGGAGTTGGAAATAGTTGTGGGAGAAAGAAATCAGTAACAAAATAGTGCCCATTTAGCTTAGGGATGCATGTTATAAATCTCTGCTACTAATGCGCCTATTCTGTTGGTGTATATTCCAGTAAATGTTTGGTCCTTTTATCATTTGCCACATATACATGAGAGCAGTTCAATAATTCTGTTTCAGTAAAAGGTTCGGATACAGAATTGAAATTTGCAGATGTCTCAGAGAGTGGAGAAAAAAATGAAGTCAAAATCTGTGGTATTGCCAGCATGTGGTTCACAGTCACTATACTACACTTACTGCACCACAGAGTTAGCCCCCAATCAATTTTAGTGAATGCAAAGCCTTTGAGTGCTCTTACCAAAATTATTCCAAAATCTAACACAAAAGACAAATGTTATACACAGTGAAGAAGAAAAGGTCACTCACTATGTTGACTTTGAAGCTATAGAGCAGATCCACAGGAAGAGCAGCTAGAAGATCCAGCAGGAACCATGTCCTGATATAATGGATGAAAATGAGACGCGAGGAGAATACCACTTGCCCAGACTGGCTGACGAATGTTGTGCGGAAATTCAGAATGATATCTATTTATCAATAGAAAACCACACAAGAATATTGCATTTATCTTAGACTATGGCCAATATTAAAGAGAGCCTACTTTTTGAAACCAGGGCAGTGGCAGTGACATTACTTGCAGTAGTCCTGGAAGAGTCTTGACCTACAATGTGCTGCTGCATCTGTACTTTCAAACAAATTAAGTCTATCATGTCCCCATTCCCTCCCCATTTTTTTATTATATCCCCCACTACAGATTTGTAATCAGTGAAACACCCGGACCAGAAGCCACACCCTATGTGGGTACTACTCACATCCTCCTCCTTGCTGTTGAGATGCATTATGCACATGTATGATCATTTCTCCAGAGTCCATAATGGAAATGCTGTCCACTTGCAAGCCTGGGTATGGTTAGAGTGTTAGGGTTCATTTATTTCAAAGTACTATTATCCTTTGTAACAAGGACACTCCACTGTAGTCCAGGTAAGTCAAATCAAATGCAGTTTATTTAGGGCAAACAGAAATATATCTTGCATTAGCAGCAACATAAGACAGTTCCCTTTTATATGGCTCAGTAGATTCGCTTATGAGCCCTCACTCTGCTCTCTTAGCAGTGTGTCGTAGCGGTCCTTGGGTTACCGACCTTCCTGACCTCTCCCCTCGTGGGCACTCAAACACATCCCTCATGTGTCACTGGCTCTCTGTCTCCTCGGCTGTCTACGAGGTGCCTCCAGCACACACAGCCACCTGGCTCCCCTCTGACGTCTGGGTGGAGTCCTCCTGACTCCTGAACACCTCTGTTCCTCTTCCCAGCTGGAGCCCAGAACACTAGCCAGCACCCTTTCCATAAGGGCTATGCACAGGTGTGCAATCATTAGGTTCTGGCCCCTACTAAACCATGGACCCAGGAATGGAGATTTCATCCCTCCCAGTTCTCTTTGAAATCTCCCAGTTCCAGGATCCCATACCAAATCCAGGTTTTCTGGAGAGAACTGCAAAGCCAGTTCTTTCCCAGCAAAATAATTTGTTTCCTGGAACTGCTCAGTCTCTCTGGCTGAGAGTCCTGGGTTACTACAACCCCCAGTTCCACTGTGGGATTGCCACACAATACCACACCTTAAACAGGATTAAATGGGCTCAGAGCATATTTTCACTCAGTTTAATGATTTCTACATATTTCCCAATGTTGGTACTCGTTCACATTACGATAGGTGCAGGGGCATGTTGACTGTTGTATGGGTTTTTTTCATGTATATCTGCAAATGTCTGCTACAGACACCACTGCTTTTACTTTGATTTTAAAGTATAATCTCCAGGACACTGTTATTATGGCAGCTCCTAATGGGGGAAGGGAGGGAAGCCCTGAGGTATCTGGCAGTTGTTTTTGTAGTTATTGGAAGTGGAATATATTGCTTTAATGGGCTTATTTATATTTTATTTCAGCAAAATATCTGATTTTTGTAGCACTAAACTTTGCCCTATTTTTACCTCAGATCGTTTTTCTCCTTACAGTCTAAACCAAAAAAGGATAAAATAATAGTAACAGATAAACTACACAGCAAAAAAAAAAAAAGATCGCAAAAGTTTTGAAAATGGATCCCAACTATTTTAGGATGGCATAAATTGATCGCCAGTATTTTAAGGGCACAAACATCAGGAGGTCTGTATAAACTGATGAAGTTATCTGCCATCTGGTAGTTAGGACTTTTTTCCCACCGTAGCTGAAATATAGCCAGCTGTGTGGAGAAACTGTCGAGAGCAGCTTTAAAGGAAACTTGTTCTGACGGAAACATGGAGATCACCATTACTAACCTCTATGCTGGCTGTCTCTGATTTTATTAGATTCTGAGCCACTGACCCAGGAGAAGCATGCATCAAATGAAGAGTTTTTAGCCTCCATGCTTTTTCAATACAGTACAGCTATCAATATCTTTGTATACTTCTGACCATAGAAAGCTAAACTCTTGGATAAAGGTCTTAATATTTACTGGTTTCAGTTTAACCAGCCAATTTGTTTCTGATAACCCACATTCTCTGAAGTCTATTTGTGACTTTACTCACTCCGAACCCATAATTACCTAGTATGAATAGGATTTCCACAGCAAGATCACATGCGCTGGGTGGGCTACGTGGATTCTGAGTACCTTCTTCTTTCACACTGCTGAAGCAGACACTGTACGGCACAGTCACTGCTACATAGAAGGTGGCGAGAAGGATCAAACAGTCCCAGCAGGCCTTAAAGGGCCCATAGTGCAAAAGTATGAAAGGAGATTTACGCATAGACACAACTTTATATTCCGGAACCCGAGGCTTCTCACCAAAAACTCCCTGTGAAGAAGCCAAATTGATTAAATGAACATTAAACCTAAAATACAAGCTATTAAAACAATTCAGAAAGACATCACATATTTATAAAGTGAGATACCTAGCATTGATTACTCTTCAGTGCTCATATTGTTCTTTGAATTTGACCGATATAGCAGCTTTACATAGATTTTTCTTTTATTTACCAGCAGGTATAATAAATGTTTGGTTTCAATGTAAAGTGTATATAAACACACCATCTTTTTTTAGTATGCTTAGCATTATGTCTCACTGTATACAGTTATCTTTATTTTTGTAGTTTTTTTGTGAAAGTTTCTTACTTGGAGATCCTGCCAGCAGCAGCACTTGTTGGCCATTCCAGTACTTATCAGGTCTATCCGTCAAACAGCCCAACAGCCAACTGAAAGAGTGCACATGGCAGGCTGACAACCCACTGCGTGACAGTTTTGCTGGAACTATTAAGCAACTATTAAGAAAGAAACTGCAAGGCCTACACTTATCATATCCACATAATGTAACATCGGTATACTGGAAGCCATTTTGTTCTTTTAATTCTATAAGTATAAAGATGAATTTAAGTTCATGATTTCAAAACAAAAGAGTCTAACATCAGCCATTCTCAGACCCTTACAGCATAGATTCCCAGGTTATACATTTTGGGGAGTCTACTTATACCAGACGACAAGATAAGGACTGACATGGTACCAATCAGTAAGATTAATAAAAAATTCCATGTTTCTGGCTTAACAAAGCACAAAGAACTATTTACCATTAGAATTTTTTTTCTTCTTTTCGAGTTATGAATAGAATACATATTGAAAGTTATCTATTATAGATAAAATTTACATAACTAATCTTTTTTATTTTATTATTAATATTGCATGAGGTTTATAAGTATTTGCTTAATTAAGTCATTTTGCTTTCACAATACAATATACAATATATATATTAGTTGGTATCACTTGTTGACATATATGTAATCAGTGAAGGAGTTAAAGTAACCACTCTCTTAGGACATATACTATACCTCAGGGGTGCCACAATTTTTGTGTTAAGATCTACTTTTCAAATGACGTGCTACATGAGATCTACCAACGAAAAAAAACAACTCCCTCGCTCTTTCTCTCCTGGCTGTCTCTTCATGCTCTCCTGGCTGTCTCTCCTTGCTCTCTCTCCTTGCTCTATCTCCTGGCTGTCTCTCCTTGCTCTATCTCCTGGCTCTCTCTCCTTGCTCTCTCTCCTGGCTGTCTCTCCTTGCTCTCTCTCTCCTGGCTGTCTCTCCTCGCTCTCTCTTTCCTAGCTGTCATTTCTTGTTTTTTCTCCTGGCTGTCATTCCTCATTTTTCCTCCTGGTTGTCTCTCCTCTCTCTCCCCTGGCTGTTTTTCCTCTCTCTCCTGTCTGTCTCTCCCCGCTCTCTCTCCTGGCTCACCTTGTGTAATGCTCGCCTTGGGAGAGGGCCGAATACCCTCTATGGATCGCAACTGTGGAATGGAGAGGGTTAAAGGAACGGGAATCAGATTAGCAGCTCCTCCCTGGGTTGCCCAGTTTTGTATGTTTAGGCGTTTAGGAGGCTGCGGTACATCACGCCCCGTACACACAGTAGGGAAGAGAAACTACCCGCACAAGTATGGTTATAGCAAGGCAGTAATACACGACTGGTTAGAGTATACAACCACACATGAGAGCAATGCAATGGTTTCAGATAGGTTTAGGTACAATGAACAGCTGAGAGCAATGCAAATGGTTCAGATAGGTTTAGGTATATTGAACAGCTGAGAGTAATGCAAATGGTTCAGATAGGTTTAGGTACAATGAACAGCTGAGAGCAATGCAAATGGTTCAGATAGGTTTAGGTACAATGAACAGCTGAGAGCAATGCAAATGGTTCAGATAGGTTTAGGTATATTGAACAGCTGAGAGTAATGCACAGATTCAGATACACGGATATGCATAGGAGACCTGGGGCTCTTGGTTGCCTAGCCCAGGTTACTTGCGGTTAAGGTGGTGGTTGCAGTCTTCAAAGGACGAACTGAGTCCGGTGAGGTTGAGGCGAGGGAACGCTGGTTTGATCAGCGTCCTTCCACGATCAACGGAAAGACGCCGATCAATTCCCGTGACTCGGCTTTATGCCGAGAGCTGCGTCTTGGAGGGGCAGAGCTCCACGGCGCGCCTGCGCCCGACCTAGACGGCCCTGAGGGGTGTGATGCGGGGAGACCGCGGCGCACCTGCGCGAAGCGACGACGGAGAGTGCCACCAGACGTCACCGCGTTCTGACGGCGAGCTGGGGCTACTGATCCTCGTTGCGCCTGCGCATGACCGCGACGGCCACCCGCACCCGGTCCCTGCAGTGCTCGTCTATTACTCCTTGCTGTATTTTGCAACAGGCTGTGTAAACTAATATTCTTTGATGTAATACATAGCACTTCAACCACCAGTATCCACCAGAAAGGTGACAGGGAGCTTGACTCAGCAGACTCAGGCTAATAGGTAATCATGTGTGCACAGCTAAATAAATATACCAAAATGGAATAAAGGGGCCACCATTCACACCCTTCGTGATCTACAGGCATCAGCTTTGAGAGCTACTGGTAGATCTCCATCTACCTAATGGGCACCCCTGCTATACATCATCCTCAGTGTATGTAGAAAGATATTTTTTTATTTCTTTCTGTGCCTCATTGTTTAAGAAGATGGGTGTCTCTGGGATCTCTGGCAATCCCAGGCAAGTAGTTAGCTATCTCTTAAATTGATGTTTTTCCACCAAGCTTAGGTCAAAAGGTCATCTCATGACATGTTACTTAAGTTTTAAAGAAAACCCAAAATTATTCCTAGACCACTACTGCCTTCTTCAGGTAAATTGCAGGTATAATTTGGAGTAAAGTGAGATGGGCAGTGATGTCATAGTGGAGATAAGATGGGACTTTCCCTTCCCACAATTTTGGTGATAAAAGTTAGGAAACGTTTGGGAGGAGGGAGACTGAGACAAAAGACGGGACTGAAACAAGAGACGAGACTGGAACAAAAAAAGACAGGGTTGAAGGGAAGAGACCCTGAACATGTGACAAAGGACTCCTGTCTCTACACTTCGTGCACAATTATTAGGCAAGTTGTATTTTTGAGGATTAATTTAATTATTGAACTACAGTGCTCTCGGTCAATCCAAAATCCTACTTTCTACTGCCTTCCAAAGACTCATAAAAACCTAATGGACCCTACGGGCAGACCAATCGTATCAGGAATTGGTAGCCTTACCGAACTGGCCAGTCGGATGATTGATGACTACCTGAGACCTCATGTGATAGCTCTACCTTCATATTTACAAGATACATCTGATCTCCTTAAAAATATAGACGGTATTATGATTCCACCAGACTCTTGGCTGGTCACAATCGATGTGGAGGCACTATATAGCAGCATTCCCCATCTGAAAGGTATAGAGACCATTAGGCAGTTTCTGGACGAAAGGACCAACTCATCGACACTATATAACAACTTCATCTTGGACTTGCTGCTCTTTGTTTTAACACATAACGCTTTTACGTTTGGTGGGTCTCACTACCTCCAGATGCAGGGGGTTGCAATGGGCACATGTTG